AAGGGGGGGGGGGTTCAAAATGGGGATATGGGCTCAGCAGGTAGAGCACGGACTGCTTTTCCAAAGAACTCAGGTTCAATTCCCAGAACCTTCACAACAGCTCACAGTTGTCTGTAACTCCAGTTCCCGGGTTTTTAACATCCTCACACAGACATGCATGCAGACAAAACACCAATGAACATAAAATACAAGTAAATTATTAAAATAAAAAACAGCTGGGCAGTGGTGGTGACTCCCAGCACTCAGGAGGCAGAGGCAAGTGAATCTCTGTGAGTTGGAGGCCAGCCTGGTCTACAGATTGAGTTCCAAGACAGCCAGGGCTACACAGAGAAACCCTGTTTTGAAAAACCAAAAAAAAAAAAAAAAAAAAAAAAAAAAAGACAAGAAAAAGGAAAAGAAAAAACAGGATTTTATATATACAGTTCTGGTAGTTTGGAACATATTTTTATTTTTAAACCAGGCTACTGTGAATCTACAGCAGCCCTCTTGCCTGCGCCTCTGCTTTATAGTTGCTTGGATTAGAGTCATGTGCTACTGTAGCTGGCCAGGAAACCCTAAAGTTGAGAGAATAGAGTGGTGGGTGGGTGTCAGACTGACTGTACAGTAGAAATTTCAGGCCAGTGAGCAGATGTAGAAAGTAAGTAACAGCTTTTATGCTCACCGCTCTAACTCCTTACCAGAACCACAAACTGTGTTCTAAGTCCTTAGGAAATGATCCCTGTCCTTTGCTAAGTAGACAAAAGGCTTATGTAAACTGACTCAGTTAATGCTTGAATTCTTACTGAGTAAAACACTATCAGATCCTAGGTTTACAGTACAAAAAATAGAACAAAAGAAATTCTATAGACCTCTCTCACCCTCTGTAGCCATCCACCTACACCATTGATAATGGGCTGGAGACAGAATTGGAGTTTGATTCTTGGCAGCCATGTTGGCTCACAACCACATGTAACTCCAGCTCAATAGGGTTTGAGGTCTCTGGCTTCCATAGACACCACACACATGATTAAAAATAAAAATCTTGGGTGAGCAGTGGTGGCACATACCTTTAATCCTAGCACTCAAGAGGCAGAAGCACGTTGAGCTCTGATTTGAGTGCAGCCTGGTCTACAGAGAGAGTTCCAGGACAACCAGGGTGATTGCACAAGAAAATCTGTCTCAAAAAAAAACAACAATAATAATAAATGATAATAGAAAGCATTAAAACATAAATGACACCTGGGAAGTCTCATAATAGGGCAGTGTATAGGCTTCCATAAGATTTTACCACTTAGGCCTGGTCTACAGAGGTAGATCCAGGGCAGCCTCCAAAGCCACAGAGAAACCCTATCAAAAAAGGGAGGGAGGGGGGGATGGAGTTTACCACTTAGAACTGTTCAGAAGTAGAGACTCTAAAACCTCAAACTAGACAGACTGAGACTGAGCTTAGATGACCCAGGTATAGTAGCATCCATCTTCAAGCTCAGTCCAGCACTTGAAGCAGAGGCAGGCAGATCTCTGAATATGGGAGTTCCTACATAGGAACTACATAGGGAATTGCCAGGCTACACAGTTAAGACCCTGCCTCCAAATAAATGGAATCCTTGTAAGATCCATCTTACTGAACTGAAAAGTTCTGCTATAAGAGGAGTTAGAGCTCTTGGGATTCTCCACTTGGACTAGTATAGTCATTGAAGGGTTTTATTTTCTCTCCTATGCCCCACAGCTACGAAGAAATGGGTTTGGAAAGAACGGCTTCCAGCTGAGCCGCAGTTCTAGCCTGCTCTCCCCTTGGAGAAGCACTATCAGTGTAGAGTGTGAAGATTCCGACACAGAAACAAGCAGCAGTGAGACCTCAGATGACGACGCCTGGAAGTAGGAATACGAGTGCTTACAGTTGACCTGCCCCACTGAGCTCAGCGTTGTGTTTAGAGAATATAAAGTGTTCTTTTCCTTTTCTTACGTTGTTGAATACTTCATGCACAAGGGACATAATCATATCCCAAAGAGAGAGCATTGTCTTGCTTAGCTTTTGTTGTTCCCTGTTATTTGCTTAATAGAGAGACATTTGCGTGGTGGAATTTTTAAAGCACATACACAGTACCTGTGGGGCCGTGCACAGGTGGGAGCTGGCAGGGCAGAGATACAGGGGGAGCTGCCACTCTGCTCAGCAGCTTCCACTACCAGCCCTTGGGCACGCACTCACCCCTGTGCTCAAGCAATCATTGTCAATGACAAAGTGACTATTGAAGTTATAATTGTATTAAATTAATGCTAATAATTTGGATATTTTATTTTATTTTTGGCTGCTCGGGTAATTTAGCCCTTAACCAAGCATATGTGGTTGTTTTTTTGTTTTTTGTTGTTGTTTTTTCTTTCTGGGTACAGCTGTAAAATATTTGGATATAGGAAATGTTATTCTTGCAGCCTTGATATTCAGGGTGGATTGTAAAATATGAATTTTTGTGAGATTTCAGAGATTAAGATTATTTTGATAACATTATTTACAGATTTAAAAGATATGGTTATCACAAGTCTGTTGAGGGGAAAAACTACTGCATAAAATAACTAACGTGGAATAAATATTTTGCATCAGTTTGGATTGTCTTGTGTAAGAAATATATTTTCTTTGAAATTAGATAGTGGATTCTTTTTTTTTTTTTTTTTAAGGGGAAATATTTTTAGAAGTCTGGGAGAAAACAATTTCAGCAAAAATTCTTGATGCAGAAGAACCTGTGCAATAAATTATTCATGCACAGGATTTACCAATATGCAAGTGTTTGGGGGGCTTTATGAATGTTTTAAAGGAGGCCTGACTTGGTTTTCATACATAACAAGAACTGGATATATGGGGAGTGAATGAACCAGGGCTGGCCAGTGGCTAATGAAGTAACTGTTCTAGAACTAGCATCCTTTGGATGTACATATGAGATATAAATTGATAACATGCCTTGATAAGATAGGGAGATGAATAATATATAAACCTGAGTGCAGTGTTCAAAAAGAAAATGTAGCGTGGGCTTAGCCAAAGGAAAGATATAGCAGGATATCCACTGCATTGTAAAGACCAGGAATGTACACTGTAGAAGAATGTGTGACAGACAGCCTGTGCTGCTTGCAGTACAGCATAAATGAGTCAGCCATTTGCTAATCTTGAAAGATGACAGTTGAGATGGAGCAGTGGGAATTGTTGACTGGGGCTAGTAAAATGGATTTAATAAACAAGCTTACTGGCCAATAGCTGAACGGTAGGTGGGAAAGGTATGAAGACACATGAGCAAAGCATAGATAAGAAATATGGGTTGTTTTAAATTTAAGAGTTAGCTAGTAACAAGCTGTTATTAGCCAATCATTTATAATTAATATTATCATCTGTGTTTGGGAGCTGCTTGGGGGACAGGAAAACACCAATAAAGCTGTACATATGCACACAGCATGCACACATACACATGAAATGAATAAAGAGGCTGGAAAAGATGGCTTAGCATTTAGGAGCAGCTACTGTTCTTACAGAGATCATGGTTTTGGTTCCACACCTGAGTCTATTTTAGAGCCACTAAGATGACTCAATGGGTGAGATATCCAGACACCAAAGTTTGATTGATTCCCTCAAGCTCTCCTTTGACTCTCACATGTCTTGGCATGCATATGCTTACTGACACATACAGATATGCACAAACTGAATATTCAAGTTTTAAGATGTGTTAAGGAAATTTGCAGTTAGGGATATAGCTCATTGGCAGAACACTTGCATTGCATGACCAAGGCCCTGGATCTAATAACCTAGAACCACAAAACATCAACCTAAAAAGGAAAATCTAGCAGCTTCAGTATAATGCTCATGCCTTGAGTCCTGATGTACACATTAAGAAAATATTGCTGGACTTGGAGGAAAGGCCCAGTGGAGTACTCACTGGCTGCTCTTTCAGTGGTCTGGGGTTTGAATGCAAGCAGCAGCCATAACTTTAGTCCCAGGGTTTCTAGCTTCTAGCCTCCTCAGGAACTGCATACATTTAGTGCACAAACATACATGTAGGCAAAATATCTATACACACAACAAAAAAGGAAAAAGCACCTTTAAATAAATGAATTAAGAATGTTCTTTGGGGGAAAAAAAAATCAAACATGGGTTGAAAAGTGGGTAAAGATTAAGACTTAAGCCAGGCATTGGTGGCACACACACCTTTAACCCCAGCACTTGGGAGGCAGAGGCAGGCAGAGTTTGAGGCCAGCCTAATCTACATTGTGAGTGCCAGTACAGGCTCATTAGACACTTTGTAACATGTCCCTCATACTCGGGATGTGGGGCAAACACCTTAAGGGCCCTATCTTGTTTAGGAAAGGAGTGCTTTGAAAACTCTTATTTCCTGATAGATATGCATAGATTTGTGTGGAGCTGATAATTTGGCCAATCTTTGATTCCTTTATCTCATAGATTATACACTCCCCAACCCAACCTATCCCCCAGTTTTCATTTCTTATGCTGTTCAAATCTTATCTACAGCTGGAGAAATAGGAGTCCCAGAATAGGAGTTAGGAAGACAACTATTTGGCGGGTTAATTCTGTAAAAGAGATTGTGTAGAGGTATGCTGTTCTATGAGCTTTACCTTGTGTGGAAAAGATGGCTTCCAGGCAGAATGCAGAGGAGAATAGCACTAACTTGAATTCTGTCCACTTCAGAGATCAGCAGTGATACAGACAACACTTGCCTGACAGAGGTTGTAAAATGACTAAACTGATAAAGGCCCAGCAAGGTGAAGAGGCTGCCATTTCTATAGGCAAGGAAATCAAAGCTGCTGCCACAGTGAGACACGCTGTGTGACACTCTCAACTGGGCCTCCCAAAGGTGACAGGACACAATGTCTTGACCTGCCTAGGCCTGTACTTGCTGTCAAGGGAGCTAGGGCACCTCCCCAAACACAAACATAAACTTGAAGATCTTGGGAGACATAATAGGGTTGGCCTTTATTTTTTCCCTTCTCTTTTGCCACATCTGAAGGACTGACTCCCACTAGTTTCAGTAACGGATCCCATCCCAATGGCCAGTTACTCTAAGGAGCCAGGATTTCTGCCCTGTGAGTCCTGTGGTATGGTTTTCAGCTCCTGGGCTCTGTTGGCCACACACACACAGCGATTCTGCATTGGCCGGCTGACTCCGGAGGTGACACAGCCATCAGTAGCCATGGACCAAAGGGGCACCACGGTAAGAGTTGCCTATAGCTGTGGCTAGGTTTCCCTGAGAGCAGGATTCTCAAGATTCTCCCTGCCCCCAGATTACAACAGAGCTATTAAGAGCAGGAGGCCAGCAAACTTGATCTAAAGAGGTTGACAGGAGAGGTATACACCCAACATAGCTACAAACTTCCTATCTGGAGATCACCCAGTTCAGAAATAGCGGGTTCTTGTTACCTGCTGTCCCCACAGGAAATGCGAATCTGGGCGACTGAGGGTCCCACCTCCCAGACTGCAGGAAGCCCTAGGGAAAGGCTGCGGGCCTTGCAGGGAACCCGCGACAAGCGCTTGGCGGAGACAGAAGAGCAAAGCAGGGCCCTGGAGCGCCGCAGCCAGGGTGAGAGCTAGGGAGGGATTGAGCTGGGTCTTCCCGCTGTGCTAGGACTCGCCTGACTCGGCCCCCGTCTCCCTCAGAACTAAACCAGCGCCTCCTTGACGTAGCAGGACCCAAGGGAGGAATATCCGCACCATTCGGTCTGGAGCGCGAGCTCCGAGCACTCAGGGCCGAAGCGGGCCGGACGCGGGGCGCTCTACAAAGGCTGGGGGAGTGCATCTTGGCGCTCCAGTCACAGCCCAGGTGAGGCTCGCGTGGAGCCTTGCTGCTGGGACGGGGTCTGGGGCACTGGTCCGTGACGTCATCTCCCCGCGCCAGGATCCAGCGACATTATTTTGAGGAGCCAGAGTTGTGTTCCCAGTCGCTTCCGCCCGAACCAGTAAAGCTTCTCGCAGAAATCCAGTGAGGTCCCGGGCATGAGGTGGGAGGGGAGAGGTTGAAGGAGTCGGGTACTGTTCAGTCTGGGGAGACTGCTTTCTGCTGCCTGCTTGCTAGGGCCCTACGAGAGGCGTACGTGTGCGGTGGAGGCCGGGACCCAGGAGTTCTGGACAAAATATGGCAGCTACAAGTGGAGGCTTCAGCCCTGGAGTTGCGGCGATCGCAGACCCGCAAGGGTGAACAGAAGGGGCCAGCCTGGAGGACTTTTCCACATTGAGTCCCTAGACTTGAGAGGAGCAAAGAGTGTGAGGGGGGAGGGCACCACTAGCATGGGAGCTGCCTAAGCTCAAGGTAGAAAAACCCTTTGTCAGGTGACAAATCCTGACTTGTGCAGAAAACCTTAATGTTGGATAACAGTATGAAAGTTACTTTAATTCTTCTCAGATAAAGCGAGTGCCACCTCTGAGGAGCTTGTAGTGGTGGAAGCAGAAAACCGGCTCCTGGAGGCAGAAATACAGGCCTTGCAGAAGGGTCTGGTGCCCTGGGGTCAGTGAAAAACCCAACCCCTCTCACCCGTCCCAGAAGGGGTGAAGGGACCATGCTTGGAGAAGGAGGCCCATGTCGGTATCATTGGTTTGTGTCTATGCATCTAGCCTTGTGTCTTTGGTATATGACCCTGTATTCTTATTTCTTGTTTCAGTTTAAGGCTTCCTCCAGCTCAAGCCTACTTTTTTTTTTGTTTCTAGGACCCAGGGAGCACCACCTCCTACTTGATCTCTGGCCATGCCTGAGTAGAAGGGGTGATAACTCCCTCCTTGCACCAGCTGCACCCCCAATGCCACCACTTACTAGTTCCACAAAAGTCCAGAACTTCCATGGCACTTCAACGTCTGTAAGGAAGTTGGCAGGGACTGGGTTGGTGGCTGGCAATCCTGACATGCAGTTTGGGGAGCATGGGCAATATGCAGTTCTGTATGGTTGAATTCTTGTCCACAGCACATACTTAAAGGAACCAAGACAGGGAACGTATGTCTGGATCGACACATCCTACCAGCATCTGATGTCCTAGGCCCTGCATCCTATGATGCTGGGTGAGGCCTGCTCCTTCCTTCAGTCTCTTTAACTCAGCCTCTACTGACATTTAAGGAGACCCACAGGGTTGGAGTACTGGCTGGGGGGAGGCATTTGGTGATTTGTGTTCTTAAATTCATATTCTTTAGGGCTGGTCTTGTCATTTTCTATGACTTCCTGTGGGGCCTTGAGGCTTCTTGGGTTTGGGTGCAGCTAATCACAAGCTTGGCCCGAGATGGACAGGATACAGGAGGGACCACAGCATTGCCTCCAGCCCTTTGCTTACCATCACCTTCACCTCCTGGACCTATGGGCAACTGTGCCATCCTTGCAAGCAAGCAGCCTGTACCCAGGTCAGTAGGTGTCATTCATTAAGGCCTCACCTCATATTATTCAGTCTGTACACAGGGGCCCCGGGCCCAAGGGCTAAGTCCTACAAAATCCCTAGTAAGGTCTCAAGACATGGCTTTGGTTGTTCTACAGGTTGCCTCCATCTCCACTGGTGTCTTTGATCTGTGAACTACAGGCATGGCAGGGAGTTACATGGGCACCACAACCAAAGGCTTGGGCCTCACTATTGCTGTTTGACCAAGATAAGCAGATGCTTAGTGGTCGTTGGCGCCTCCCATTTCGGGTCCTTCCTAAGGCCAACCTCAGACTTGGTGGGCTGAATGAGATTCCCCAGGTGAGTGCAAGAAGGTAGGGACAGAGCCTACTCCAAGATTCAGTTACAACTTACCCTCCCAGGCAGGTCAAGCTGAGCTCTTTCTGAGGCTTGTGAATGCAAGAGATGCAGATGTCCAGACACTGGCAGAGATCAATCTAGCAAGTGCCCATGAATACCAATACCCACCACTGGTAAGAATCCACTGGTATGAGCTTCTGTTGGCTAACCAGCTTCGATTAACTAGTATGCATCAATGACTATATTAACTCATTTGATCCTTAAATTTACCCATTAAATAGTGTGGAAGCAACAGAACTTTTACTTTTGGGTTTAAAAAAAACTATTCATGTTTTATAGGTATCCAATTCATCTTCACTGGAAACCAGTTCCTTCACCCACAATTCTGGACTCGCTGACCCCCGACCTCCCACAGAAGATGATTTCATAAATGTCAAAGATAAAGATGAGCATTTGAGCCCTCACCAGTTTTGACCCATAAGGTTTCAGAGGTGAAAGGCCTATCTAGACTTGAACCTTTCCTAATGAGGTCTGGAAGTAATGCTAAACTCCAACCAAGCCAGCTAGGGCTTTTTCCTGTATCTGTTTCCTTTTGTAAAGTAGTAAATGATTTCAGATATTCACAACAATGGCCTGGCATTCAAATCTCTGAAAATAGCTAGGCTTTACTAAAGCCAGCTTTATCAGCAGCCTTCACTCTACTCGCACCTTCTTCGGGACTTCTAGACAGAAATCTATCCACGATCTCAATCTTCCAACATAACAGGAAACTCCTGAAGATTGAGATTCCAGGGTAGACCTTAGCCCAATTGTTCCAGCCAAGCAGAGGATCATGTCCTGGAATTGCATTTTGGACCCAACTACAGATCCAATCAGCATTGGTCATATCAAGTCTGTTCCAACGGAAAGACAATAGGGAAAAACACTTTAGGACTCAATATAACAATACAAAGACAGTTCAAAGTCAGGGTGAGCCAAGCTTTAGTGGCCATGCCAGAGAATTAAAAACTCATTCAGCTCAACACCATCATCAATTCTATACTGCTCAACAGTATTGTGGTTAAATAAGGATCAGGATAAACAAATAGGCTGAACAGATGTTTATTCAGGGAGAAATAACTTATAACCTAGACAGATGATCACCAGCAAGTTTCACCGGATGCTCTCCTGGATGCTCTCCTGTCCGAGGCCTGCCAGCAAGAGAGCATTCCCAGTTCTTCCTAGACCTACTTCCACAGGTCACTTCTGCCCATGGCTCCACCCCCCAATGGGCGTGGTCAGTGCCACAGAAGGAGACAATGTAACTATCTCACTATACAACAGCAATGAGAGGAATCATGTTTCAATAGTGCCATTTTAAAGACCCAGTATAAGGCAGCGCAATAAGAGTCGGTTCTCAATTCATACACCCTGATTGTAAGAGCCCAGTGGCATCTGACCACCATCCCTCAACTAGACACCCAGAACTAATGGAACAGCTTGCCAGTCCATCCCATATCCAACCAAGAGGTACCAGGCGACCCTTTTTGTTAAATCTTTGACATGTAATTCCAGAACAAGGTAGGGAAGTTTTTTTTTAATTAGCATATTTATTTTTATTATAAGGCAAAATTGCAGACAATATAACAATTCTAGTTATTGACATGCTGCACTCTTTCTATACAAAACAGACTTTCTCCTCCAGATTCTTCCAGGTGTCCCCACCTCAACCTGAGCCTTTCCAGTCAGAGTTCATGTCTCTGATTCAAAACACCATTTTCCTCAATGATCCGTTTTTCCAGGATAAGATTAGTGGGCTGACACTGGAAATCAGGTGAACAGACAATAGGCACAACACAAGACCTGGTTCATATTCCAACATCCATTTTCAGCACCCAACACTATCAGTTGTTTGGCCGACCCCATCCAGGAACAGCACCACTGAAAGTGTCTAAGACACCTGAATGTGGCCAATAATTTGGAAATAGAAACATAGCACCAGAAGATGAAGGGCTTCTAGCCACACTTGATCACCTCCATATTAGACAGGAAGTAGGTTGTCCATCAGCAATACACAAAATAAACACATACATACACCAAAAATAAAAACGTAGTGGCCCACGGCATAAATTCTGCCAATATTTAAGAAAAAAAGCCATCAAAGCCTTAGCTGTTGCCTACAATCTTTATTGAAGTTATACAAAAAGAATCCCCAAAAGTGAAAAAATACATTATGTACAAAACCACTTTCCCTCACTCGGGAGAAAGGTTCTGCTCCCTCTTTAACATGCAGTGCCTTCAACTGTAGCTGCAGTACTTTCTACGGTAGCTGCAGACTCCACTGTCCCCTCTTCTGTTGCTGGGCTTGCAGTCTGATTTTCAGCCTAAAAGACAAAGGGCCTAGGTATAACTTATGCTGACTTAAGCCATCCCATAATATACAACAGAGCAAGCTTCACTCATAAGTAAACATAGGTGTCCCTGCACTTCTGTATAGGAACAAGAACTATAAGATGATAAGGCTGACAAATCAGCAGCTGACACATGGAAGGATCAAGTAAAAATGATCAAATAGTCTTGCTGATCTGTGCCTTTCTATACTCATTAGACAAATAAATAAAAATCCATCTGTCAGACATCCTATTACTTCATGAACAAACTACCTTTAGTAAATTACTTTCTGTGAGTGTCCCATATGCACTGAAGGCCTGGCTTCCTAGTCCTAAGAGCAACAGATGAGGCAAGTGGCCACTAAACTACCCACCTCAGCCTCCATGTTTTCTGAAACTTCATTTCCACTAGGGACAGCATCCCCACTGCCTCCATTCAGCTCTGGTTCTTGTTTGGCTTTCTTTGCATCATCTTTCCGGGGGCTCTCTTCCTCTGGTTTCCTCTAAAAACAGAATCGTGAAGGAGGCCTTCATATTTTCCGACAATTGCGAAATAATCCCATAGTCCCCGTGGTCCCAATATACTGAACATGACTCACAGCTCTATGGATCTGCTCTCTAGTTACAGAGCAATGCTGACCACTATACAGAGGAATAAAAAGTTATGCCCCAATGTCCAATGTATTTTTATCTTAAAATTTTCATTAGTTGGGATACATGAAATTGGTGAGGATGAGGGGTAAAGACCTGAACAGTAAAGGAGTACAAATAGGTTACCTATTTTCAATCATAGAAAAGTGAAGGTTTACCATGCAGGGAAAGAATAATTGATTGGGACTATTGGCAAAATAGTTCTGCTACTGAAGAAAACCAGCCAAATCCTAAAACATACTCAATTTCATCAATCCTCTTAAATTTTCCAAGGAGCCATGAGTTTGCTAGGGTATTCTAAGTGAAAACAGTCTGTGCAAAGCATTAGCTCTTTTGAAGGTGAGTGTTACACTGTGCCACTTAAGAGGATGAGTTAATTATTGCTAGTGTATTATTTCAAACTTCCTACATTGGGAAGGCATACTGAGGAAAAAGGGTTAAAAGCAAATAGGTACATGTAAATTTTACCTTCTTTCTAACAAGATGGGAAATATCAGTCACACAATTTGATGAGGAAGCACCATCTGTTGGTTTTCTACTGGCAATCTGGCAAAAATAAGCCTTTGTTATTAGCAATTTACAAAGACTTTATTTGACTCAGTAGGCTTATTGAAAAATACGTGATACGAACCATGGAGACTGAGGCACCAGCCCCACTGGGAGTGAACCCTGAAGAAGAGCTCTCCACCTACAACACAAAGACACAGATAAGTTGGAGCACAGAACCCCAGCCACCTGGGTCTAAGTTACCGAAAACACAAGCACTTGATTAAAAGCTGAAATGCCCATGGCATCAGCATCACAGCAAGGCCTTCCACACAAAGACACCCAAGAAACTCAGAGTAGGCATGGAAACTAAACCCTCCATGTCCTATTTCCAACATAGAACATTACCCAGCATGCCAGTGGCCAGGAGAGGAGCTAGGCAATTTAGGGTTAAGAGACTCAATGACTAATGCCTTTTCTATATGGTATTGTCAAAACACTTTTACACAGATTACACAGAATTTACACCAAAAGACAAAGAAATGTCCAGTGGTCACACAAAGGTAGCAGTGACATTTTGAACAAATTTGTTCACACATACAGCCTGCTTTCTAACCACTGTACTATTTGGTACAAGTTGAGATGAGCTCTCATTCTGATCAACTCCCTCAAGGGTGGTGGTGCACACCTTTGATCCTGGCACTCAGGAGGCAGAGGACAGCTACACAGAGAAACCCTGTCTCAAAAAAACAAAACCAAAAAAGAAAAGAAACTCCACAAACCAGTGTTGCTTTCAAGGCCAGTTCAGCTACATTCCCACTACGCTGAGACTCCTTAGCATCTTCTATCTTTTCTCTAATTTCAGGTAGCAGTTCTTTCAGCTCCTCGATTTCTTTCTCATATTCAGTGAATGATCCTTCAGTCTCCTTCATCTGCTCATTTAGTACAGCTACAAAGAAAGGCTTAAATCATTAATAACAGAAGGACCTCCCCCCCAATAGTAAATTGCTGCTTCATTTAAGCATAAAGTAACTACTGTTCACTCACCCATTCTCTTCTCAATGACTTCAATAGATTTGCCAAACTGTGCCACTGCCTCATCATACTGAGAGTTGTAACCATAGGCCAAACCCAACTGGTAGTGGGTTTCTGCTAGGAGACGGTCATGGGCTTCCAAATATTGTTCTTGGAGGCTTAGGCAAGCCTGAAACTCCTCCACAGCTTGGGTGTAATTCTCTAATAATGACAGAACAACAAGAATTGTATAGCATTTAATCTAAAGCTCTTTCAGAATTTAGTTCAGGAATAGATTTCTCATCTCATATTTCTTTATATCTCTTCCTCCCTTTTTCCTCTTTCCAAACAGGGTCTCAATATAGTTTGGGCTGGCCTAGAACTATGAGGCCATGCTGGTCTTGAGCTCAGAGATCTACCTGTCTCTGCCTCCTCCTCCCATGGTTTAACTGTCAAGACAAACCATTTACAAGGCTGCTCACTGCTCTGGGCACTATAAGGAACTCAGACCTTCTGTTCTTCTATCTATAGGAACAGGAGAATGGGGATATTTAAGGGAAGTGAGGAGACAGCAAAATGGAAATGAATTACCAGATTCAACACTGACTTCTCCAAGTTTAAGATGGGCTTGTGCAGCATAAAGCTGGGCTTCTTTAGTTTCTTGCCTAAAAAGAAAGATGATTAGTAAAGCCCTAAAAATAATTGTCTGATCCTAAAAAAGTGCTTTCTATTTTCAACCCTAAGTACCCAGCTAAAAGCACCAAAAGGTTTACCTTTTAAAAATGATCTTTGCTAAATCCAGCATATCCCAGGCAAGTTCCAGGTTCCCAATCTCTTCCTCCTCATTTTCTTGAAGAGACTAAAGTATATCCAAATCATTGGCATTAGGCAGATGTACAAGATAGGAAGACATCTTGAGGATAAATCTATATATGTTATTTACTATAATTTGAAAAAAAAAAAAAAAAGCTGGCTGTTAACTCAAAATGCAGGTCTTTGCCCTAAAACCTACCAAATGGAGCCACCTACTATAAGGTCTCTAATTTATGTCACCTTATGTCAGTGAAATATAATTGTGATGTTGCATTTCATCTTATAGAAGATCTCTAAGCCCTAAGAACCAGCTATCTACAGTAACCTTTCCTATACCATAAGAAAGTTGTAAAGGTTAAACAACTTACCTTGTTTTCAAGAACTGATTCAGTTGGTGTTTCTTCAGCCTTGTCATTCTCTTTGTCGTCTTCTTCTGAACCTTCAGTTTCTACAAACAAAAATTCCTCAGTACTGAGATGTAACTAAGGGTATTTTCTGATAAGGGTCAGTTTCTGATAAATTATCTGTCAACCTACATTCTAAGACAGAACAGGAAAGAGGATAGATAATCCAGCTCACAAGTTAAAAGTCAGTGGTTAGCATCTAATTCAAATCTAAGCTAGTCTATTCATCAAAATGTCAGCAGTTTAAAGACTAAGGATTTTCTTATGAACCTTGCATCTACTCAGCAGATAGGTGTTAGTGATTTGTTAAGACAATCATATTAAACTGAAAGTATCAAAAACCATTCGAGCCCATTCAGAACGATAACCAAAAGACCAGCTTTCCTACAAGCTATGGGGAACAGGCATATCTTGCAACAACTCTCCCCCAAAAGAGCAGATCTAGCAACCTTAAAAAGATTGGGAATGAACAAGCCAATTATTACTTAAGGTTTCATATAAGCCTGGTGGTGGTGGTGACACATGCCTATAATCTCAACAGAGGGAGACAGAGGTAGGTGGATCTCTGTGAATTTCAAGGACAGAGCAACAGAGGAAAGCCAGGGTACACAGAAATCCTGTTTTGAAAAAAAGAAAAAATCATTTAAATATATAGCCATTCCTATACCTATTTTGATATATAGCCATAAGTCAGTCAGTTATCCAAAGAACAACCTTTCATAATAAATTAATAATCAGTCAACTTAAAATCCAAAATGACAGCCAGAAGGTGGTGGCATACACCTTTAATTCTAGCACTTGGGAGGCAAAGGCAGGCAAAGATTTTAAGGCCAGCCTGGTCTGTAGAGCAAGTTACAAGACAGTCAAGGCTGTTACAGAATAACCCTACCCACCCACCCCCCAAAAAAAGCCCAAAATGCCAGCCATTTCAGTTGATACATATTAAGTATGTACTCACTGCTATCTTTCATTAAGCTAGGTGGGGTTTTCTTTTGTTTGCTATTTTCCTTTTCATTTAAGATTTATTCTGCCTGCATGTATGCCTGCACAGCAGGAGAATGTACCAGACCTCATTATAGATGGTTGTGAGCTATCAAGTGGTTGCTGGGAATTGAATTTCACAAGAGCAGCCAATACACTTAACCACTGAGCCATCTCTCCAGCCCTCTTTTTTTTTCTTCTTCTTCTTCTTCTTCTCAAAGCAACAAACTTAATGTATAGCCCAACCTAGCCCCCAAAAACCAAGTAACAGCAATCCTTCTGCATCTCCCTAGTAGGTGGGAGTACACAGTTGGCAGCAAGCTCAAAAAATTTGTTGCCCCCCCCCCAGACAGTTTCTCTGTACTGCTTTGGAGGCTGTCCTGGAACCCAGAGATCTGCCTGGCTCTGCCTCCCCAGTGCTGGGACTAAAGGTGTGCACCACCAATGCCCGACCATGCTCAAAATTGTTAACTCCAGAAAAAAAGATTATAAATACCACAAGTTAACAACCCATTATGGGAATGGAAACATGGAAAGTAAGCCTTAGGATCTCTTCTGTTGTTGTTTGAGTCCAGGTCAACCTTGGCTATTCTTAAACTTGACATGTACACCAAACTTGCTTCAAACTCAAAGATCTGCCTTCCTCTGCTTCTCAAGTGCTGACACACCTGTGCCACAATGCCTGTTTGAGCCTATTTAAATGTCAGCAGTTTTATCTACAAATCAACACTAATTTGAAAACAGGCATAGAAAATTCTTATATATATATATTGCCATTTACTAGCACAAACCAGTAGTACTTAAACTATTTGAAAGTAACAACCTAAATAACAAATATAGCAAACCATATTAAACTAAAAGGCTCACGGTTTTTGTGTGTAAAGTTTATGTCCATGGAGAGAAGTCAATGTCAGGTGTCTTCCTCTACTATTCTCCATCTTTTTTTCTGAAACAAGGTCTCTCAATGAAAATGGAGCTCCACAAATGGCTAGTTATCAAGTTCCCAGAATATAAAAAAGCTTACTTATTTTGTTTCTGACTATGCAATCCAGTGTTTCTGAAATAGAGCTGCCAATCATGTTTTAAAGATTTTAATCGTGTTTGTATGCAAACACCTGTAGAGACCCAGAAAAGGATGTCATTTGCCCTGGAGATGGAGTTACAAGCAGATGTGAGATGTCTAATGTGCTAAAACCCAAAAAGGTCCCTTTTAAGATCAGTATATACTCTTTAACAATTAAGCCATCTATCTAGCTCCAGCACTATTTTTTTTTTTTGTTTAGTGTAGTTCCCCAAATTTAGACTAGATGTTCATTTTAATGACTCCACCCATCATCCCACATTAATCAGAAGTAGACTACTTATTTGTTTATTCATTTGCTTATTTATTTTTACTCTTTAAAAGCTGGGCAGTGGTGATGCACACCTTTTGATCCCAGCACTCAGAGAGAAGTGGCAGGTGAATCTGAGTTAGAAACTAGCCTGGTCTACAGAGTGAGTTCCAGGATAACCAAGTGATGAGAGATGTCATTCTGTAAATATGTTTCTCATACTGCTTAATGAATAAAGCACTGTTGGCTAATAGGCTGCACCTGTCTGAAAAAATACTTGGAGGTGGGCAATAGCTACATTTAACTTATTAGTGAAACGAGGTTATAGAGTGAAATGCTCTCAAAAAAAAAAAAAAAAAAAAAAAAAAAAAATCAAAATTACAGACATCTAAAGCTATATTTTTAGTCTATTGAGACCTATTCATACCAGAATGCCATGAAGTTTAATTTAGTATAAAATATTTTATTACTTTAGAATTTTATAGCAAATTTGTACATTAAACTTCTTACAACAACCTGATCATGGGTTTCTCTTAAGAAATCTAAGGGAACAGTAGAGATGAGCTAAGTTAATAAGAAAAGCCAGTACTGTCCCAAATTTGTTAACAGTGATCAAGCACTAATGGGAATGTCCCAATGTCATCAGCAAACAAATTTATATTTTTCTAAAGTTTTTGAAAATGGAGTATTAATAGTCACATGCATATTCCACTTTTCTTTTTTATATCATTTATCTGATATTGTGACATTCTTAAAATAGGAACATACCAAATCCAAATGAGAAATTATTAAAATTATACTAAAAATAAGCCAAGCCATGTGTGATCCTCACATCTGTAAATCCCAGCATAGAGGGCTCTAAGGCAGGACTGCTATATTGGAGGCCAGTCTGGATTATAGTGAACTCCTGCCTCAAAAACAAATTAACAGAGACATCCTGAGCATAGCCAACCTTTATGACTACAATTTTAATTTTTGTTCAATTACTAACCACATCTAACATGACAAAAACACCAAAAGAGAGGGAGAGGGAGACAGACAAAGAGAAAAATAAAACATTGATTATCTACATGAGTGATATACATATCCCAGAAGTGGCAAAAAGTCAAGTACCTCAAATGGGTTATTTTCTTGTGGTGTTAGCATCAAACACAGAAATTTGCACATGTTAGACAAGTATTCTACCACTCATTGTCATCCCATGCATCAGTGTTTTGATTGTGTGTAGGAACCTATTTATGTAAAAGTGGGTACACTTACATTATGGCATCTATATAGGTCAGAGGATGACAGCCTTGGGTTGGGTCAGAGACGAGATAGGATGTCTTGTGTGTCAGGTTTGTTCCACAATCTTCTGAGAATTGTTTTTGGCTCATATCTCCCTTTATGAGCCAATATTATAATGGGAGTACATGGCCAATTTTCTGTGGGTTCTGGGGAATCAACCTTAAGTTTCTCACATGTAAAATGTGGTGGACTAATATAACATCTAACATAAAGGAACCAACCACAGAAAATGGCTGAGTCCAAAATCACCCTTCTCTTTATTAGGTGTGTGTGACACAGACTTCCTCCTCATTCCTTATTTGTAAAATATACAAAATCTTTACCAACCAAATAACTTTTATAGATTTGAGTATTTGGTTCAAGATTAAAGTGCTAGGTTAACACACATGAGGCCCTGGGTTCAATCCTCAACACTAGGGAGGGAGGAGGAAGAATCAAGACATTAATATTTTCAAAAACATGAGGAACTCAGTCTGTGCTTTCTATTAAAGATGTCCTGAAGCTCAAGAAGCCTAACAGTACTGTGCCAGTTGACAAGTTCGCTTCTGGCTGTGATGCTGACTGGAGTGCAGAGACCTACACATAGGCAGATGCTTACCAGAATGGTCAAACATTAAAGATGAGTCACTTAAGAGAACTCTTGGAACAGTTTACACAAAAATTACAAATTGAAATACACCCATAATTAGACAACTCTTGAAAAAGTCTAGCAATTACACAGGATATTATTAATTGAAATAAGACCTGTAATTATTAATGCCAATGTTAGATGAAACTTATATACAGTAGAATCCCCAACTGAGCACAACTCAAGTCAGACGTGCCAATTAGTAATTAGAGGCTTTAAAATCTTAATAAAATTGAACCACAATTAAGCCACTAACAGTATAGTTGGTTAGCAGCCAAAGCAAGCATGAAATGAGAAAGGAAAGCAATAGCAGATAAATGACAAGTACTTGGCTATCTCTTTTCCATGAATAGGGGCGGGCCCGTCTGACTTACCCTCTAAACATTTCTATGAACAAAAGGGGAAAGGGCACCAGAAGGCTAACTGCCGTCCTTTATTTAAATGGCATGCCTGCTTAAGTGTACCAATTCAGTGGATTCTACTGCTCTGTTCCTATCCTATAGCACTTAGTAGAAACCATGTGAGCAATAAATTTAAAAACCCAAAAGCATGCAAGTGAACATCCATTCAGCATTCTCTGCCAGCCTAGCCTATTCCCCTACCTATCCCACAACCTATTTCTAATCCACCCTTCATATAACCTCATTGGCTAGTAGTATGGCACAAGTTATGAGAGCTAGCCAAGTTTTGAATCAGAAGACCTACTTAGTAGTTAGTAAAATTATTAGTTACCAGCCAGCTAAACACTTGCTGCTCTTGATTTGACCTGCTAAACCTATTGTCATGTTCTTGAATCCCATTTTCATTTAGCTATTTCCTAAACAAAGCCTTTCCTAAATCCAAGGCAGACTGAAAATCCTGAATGGAAGGCTGACTTTTACCAATGATTAGTGAGTCAAATCTAGAATGTACTCCACCCATTGCAGCTCTAGCGTATCCCAGTTACCTTCACCCTCTTTCATCTGTTCGTCTCTCTCTTGTGTCTCTTCATTAGCAGCTATCTTAAATTTGTCTTCAGGTGCTTTCTCCGTAGCCCTCTGGGCTACCTTGGTCTCAACCCCATCTCCAGCTGCCTCAGACTCTTCTACAAGTGGCATAGCTTCCTCCTTTTCAGGAACCAGCTCTGTCTTGGCCTTGTCTACACTTGAGCCATCTTTATTAGTCTCTGTCAGTCTTTCTGCAGAAATCTGTGGGTCACTAGGAATCTGATCTCCTGCAGCTGATGGTCCATCAACTGAACCATTATTAGGAAGAATTGTAATCTCCTGCCCTGGCTTCTCAGAGACATCTGATCCAGCCTCTGCAGTCACCTTTGGTGACACTTTGACATCTTGCCCTGACAGTTGCTCAAGAGCAGCCTTTCCTAGTTCACTCTCATAGGTAGCTACCTGATCATTTGGTTCCTCCCTACCCATGTCCACTGACTTGACTGTGGGGTCTACTGTTTCAGCTTCTACCTTCATTGAAGTACCCTGCTTTTCTGGAGCCCCAATAGGATGATCTTCTGAAGTTTCTTTTGGCTTTTTCTCTATGCTTATTATTTCCTCTCCTTCCTTTTCCTGATGCACAGTTTCTCTGCTTTCTTTATTTTGAACACAAGCTCCAGAAATTGATTTTCCTTCCTCAGTACACAATGATTCCTGTTCTGTCTTCCCAGAAGTGACCTCAGCTTCATTCAGTCCTGGTATTGCTGCTTCTTTTGCCTCTCCAGAGGATTCAGTTAACTGCTTTGAAGTCGATTCAACTTTTTCCTGTAGCTTCTCTGTAGGCTCACTTATATCCATATCTTCTCTTCCACCCTTCTCCACTTCACTTTCCTGTTCTGTATCAGTTTCAGGCTTTGACAGAGACTTGCCTTCTGCTTTTTTGGCTTCTTTTTCTCCCATGGCGTCATAAACCTGTTCTCTCAACTCTTCCCTTGCTTCCTCTACATGGTTAAAGAACATGAAGCATAAACATGTCTCCAAGTTTAATGATAAAAGCATAAATGGAAACTAGAAATACAATCCCTTTAAGCCTTAATTAGCCTAACTAAAAAAGTTTTAGCAGGTGCCCCCAAGAGAAAAGCAAAGGGAGAATCAAAGCTAGCAAAGCAACATACTGCAAAAGAAACCAAACCTCTTCAGACTAGACACTGCATGGGCTTCAATTCAAGTCATCTGATTACCAGTCAGGGAAGACATGTCAAACTTTCTTCCCTCTCTTAATCATTATACTTATTTGATTTGTAAAGTTCTAACAGCCAAACTCCGAAAATTCTTAATTTTCTAAGATTGAAAAAAAACACAAGAGTGCTCTAAGGACTTCTATTACAATAAAAGGGCTCTGCAATGTGTCTTTAATACTCTTACTATTTAACTTAGAGTTAAATGACTGATTAATACATTTAGTTACTTTCTTAGAGAGGCTCACTGTCAACTTTATTTAATAGTAGCCTATATCCATTGCATCAGCCCAAGTACCTTAACTTAAAGGAAACATAGGTCGCCACATCTCTTAGATTTAGCGTGCAACTCTACATACCATCTACATTATCATTATTTTCTACCATAGATTCATCTTCTGTTTTTTCTTCCTCCTCTTCTACATGCACTCCTTCCAATGCATTTCCCAACACTCCATTCTCCATTCTACAAGACAAAAAAGCATGAAAGTATAACTGTTTCCTAACAAAGTATTTCAAAATGGAAATCATAAGCAACAGAAAAAGAATCAAGTAAAGGGAATACAAAACTACAATTCAAACCAGGAGGAGTTCTACAAGTACCAGGCTAGCTAGGTACAAAAGTAAGACTAGACTTAAAAATAAGAGAAGAGCCAGATGGTGGTGGCACATGCCTTTAACTCCAGCACTCAGAAGGCAGAAGCAGGCAGATCTCTAAGTTGGAGGACAGCCTGGTCTACTGAGCAAGTTCCAGGAGCCCCTAATCTACAGAGAAACCCTGCTGTAAAAATGAACGAACAAATGAACAAATGAATGAATTTGGGGGAAATAAGGGAATAATTGGGAAGGAGAGTAATAACAGGAATGGGAGGAGCATGAGAGGTTAAACGGGGGTAAAAATAATTGAAATATATGATGTATATGTAAAAGTGTCCTAATGAGCCCATTATATAGAATATGCTAATGAAACTTTTTAAAAGACCTATTAACATAAACTAACACTGCATGAGGCTGCATTTCTCTAAAGGATCAGTGACATTTTGTCAACATTTTCATACCAAGTCATTAAATGCATTGAATAATCACAAAATTAGGAACTTAACAGAACTATTTGTAAAGGCTAATCACACAAAATATTTAGTCATGTTAATAAATTTGTTGAGCAGTTTCCAAGAATGTCTTTTACTAGAGAGAGGTACATATGGGTTTGGGACAGGGTCACTCTGTAGCTTACTCTGCCCTTGAACTTGATCCTCATGCTTCAGCCTCCCCAGACCCCAGCTGTTGGGAAATTCACAAATGTGAAACCATACCAAGCAAAGTCTTCCTTACTAGACATTTTCATGTGCTATTTATTCAAATTGTCCTCCATACAAACCTTGTTGAATTTTGAGCTAGCTCAAATGTTCAAATTCCTGCATTAAACTGATAAACCACTGACTATGATTGAAAATATCACTGCTTCTACTAATTGAAACCATCAAAATTAATTTGACTATTTGCACAAACAATTTTAGCCAATAAGGAAGCTTCGATATTTAAACAGACCAAAGTGATACAAAACATTCTATTTACAAAATGAGGCTTCCCAAGACATACCTGGCCAACTCCAAGAGTGACTTCCCATAAAAAAAGAAGGCTTCTCCACATTCATTAGCTGTTTCTCCATACTTCTTACCTCTACAAAGAAAGTAAATAAACCTAGTCTGCACATTATTAAATGCTAGTTAACACAAGAAGTTAATGTTACATATTCTTCATACATATATAATAATGTATATTTTAAGTGCCACCAACCAGGTATTGTACAATATTCCTCCTACCACACTATCAATATCATTGTGGACCAGAACTGTTATAATACCTTTGGTTAAGGCTTAAATGATTTAAGAAGGGGGAAAAAAAGAAGTATGAAAGGCATGCTGAAATGAAGAGCACCACATATATAAAATAAATCTTAAAAAAATAAATTTAAGGGGCTGGAGAGATGGCTCAGAGGTTAAGACACTGGCTAATTTTCCAGTGATCAATTCCCAGCAACCACATGGTGGCTCATGATGATCAGTAAAGAGAACTGGTGCCCTCTTCTAGCCTGCTGGCATACATGCAAACAAAGCACTGTATATATAAATTTAAAAATAAATAAATTTAGTGGCTGGAAAGATGGCTCAGAGGTTAAGAACACTAACTGCTTTCCCAGAACCTGACTTCAATTCCCAGTAACACATCGTGGCTCACAACCATCTGTAATGAAATTTGGTGCCCTCTTTCTGGCATGCAAGAATACATGCAAATACAATACTGTGTACATAAACAAACCTATTTATTTTAAAAAAATAATAATAAATTTAAAAACCAAATAGTCCCAAGAGGCCAAGGGTATAGTTTAATTGTAAAATACTTGTTTTCCATACACAAAGTCCTAGAATTCAACCCAATCATTTCAAATAGAATAAAAATAAATTATGTCTTCTTAATATAGTGTAAAAATCACCTTACTCAGAAAAATTACTGAAATTACAATAATATTCAGGTTGTAGAACTCCAAGAAAAATTTCACCACAGGCTGCTGGGCAGTGGTGGCCCACGCCTTTAATCCCAGCACTTGGAAGGCAGAGGCAGGTGGATCTCTTTGAGTTCTGAGACCAGCCTGATCTACAAGAGCTAGTTCCAGGGCAGACTCCAAAGCCACAGAGAAACTCTGTTTCAGAAAAACAAAATACAAACAAACAAAAAGAATTCCACCACAGGAAGAACAGAGTTCACATACATTAGCCAAGGTCTATACCATTAAAACATACCCCTATTCTTCTTAGAAAAAATTTTAAGGGTTTGTTAACAATATACTACTGTTTAAAATAGAACATGTACTTACAAAAGACTAGCTGCTTCCTGGAATGCATTAACAGCCGATGGAATGTCTCCCATCACCAGATGTTTCTGTCCTAATCCCAGTAGTTTCTTAGCTTCACTATCCACATCCAGACTACAAGAAAAATATTTTATTTAGTAACAAATCTTGTTTAAATAAATACTCACTGGATACATGTTACACTGAAACCATAACAATTAAAATTTTTAACTTTTGATTTCTATGGAAGACCTGGCAAACTAATGGGGAATGATGATACATATCCATAATCTCAACACTATAGGGAAAGGCAGGATGATTGAGAATGAGGCCAGCTTGAACTATATAACAAGATCCTAGGAGAGAGAAAGGGAGGGAAGGACAAAGGGAGGGAGGGAGAGAGGGAGGAGACAGACTTAGCTAAGTCACACTTATTTACCACTATCACAAAAAGTAAAAGCCCTAGTATGGGGGAGGGGTGGTGGCAAACACCTTTAGCCCCAGCACTCCTGAGGCAGAGGCCAGCCTAGGCTACAGAGCTAGTTACAGGACAGCCAAGGCTACATAAAGAAACCTTGTGTAAAAAACAAAACAAAGATAAATAAAAAGGCAACATTCATAAATGCTTACAGATGTTACATGTTATTATACCTGACAAAAAATAACCACTAAGGAACCCCAAAGTCATACAAGTTTACTAGTTAAAAGGAAAAATTTAAAAAACAAAAAAACCAAGGCAGGCAGTGGTGGTATACTAAGGAGGAAGAGGCAGGTGGTTCTCTTAGAGTTCAAGACCAAAATTCCAGGGCAGCCAGGGCTATACAGTGAAACTCTGCCTTGAAAAATACCAAATAAACAAACAAAAAAACAAAACAGAACAGATAGAGCTGAGAATGGAGATGTACCTGCTTTCCTAACATGCACAGAGCTCTAACCCTAACCATATAAACAAGACAAGGTGGTGGATACCTTTAATTATCAGTACTGAGGATATAAAGATGAACCTAGTTGTGAGACAACTCACCCCCCATCTAAAACCAACCTTTAATCCCAGCACTGACAAGGCATAGCTGGCAAATCTCCATGAATGGAGGCCAGAATGCTCTACATAGTCCAGGGGAAGCAAAGCTATAAATTTCTGTCTTAAAAAAAAAAGCAAGGGGGGAGAAAGGGGGGCTCACAGCAGTTAAGTACATTCAGTTAGTTCTTAGTACCCACAAGGAAGCTCCCAACCATTATTAACCCCAGGGAATCTAATGCTCTTTTCTGATTGTTAGCACATGGTACACATACATATACACAGGCAAAATAAATTTAAATTAAAAAAAAAAACATAACATGTACTTTGACTTGGAAATACAGCTGAGTGGACTCAATTAAAACCTTTGCTTAGCATGCATGAGGCCCTGGATTTAACCAAGCACCTGTACCATAAAAGAAAAACACTTAGGAGATGGTGATTAGATAGAACATTATGGGACTGGAGAGATGACTCAGCATTTAAGAGCACTGAGTGCTCTTCCAAAGGACCAGAGTTCAATTCCCAGCACCCACATGGTGGCTCACAACTGTAACTCCAGTTCTAAGGGACCTGACACCCTCATACAGACATACATACAGGCAAAACACCAATGCCCATAAAATAAATAATTTTTTAAAAAGACATTATGGTATTAGCATGAAGGTAAACAGACCAGAACATAACACAAAATAGACCCACACAATTCAGGCAATTAAAATGCTGACAAAGGTGCCAATACAATCCATGGAAAATGGTTAATCCATATAACAAACATTCCTGGAATAAAAAAAAAAAAACTAATGTTAAAAAAAAAAAGTAGGGGTCTGGAGAGGTAGCTTAGTGGTTAAGAGAACTGGCAATTCTTGCCAGGCGTTGGTGGTGTATGCCTTTAGTCCCAGCACTCAGGAGGCAGAGGCTAGCAGATCTCTGTGAGTTCGAGGCCACCCTGTCTAAAGAGCTAGTTACAGGACAGGCTCCAAAGCAATACAGAGAAACCCTGTCTTGAGAAGCCAAAAAAGGAGAAGAGAAAAAAAAGAAGAAGAAAGAGAACTGACTATTCTGAACCCTGAGTCAGTTCCCAGCAACCATACGGTAGCCTTAAGTGTCTGTAACTCCAGTCCAGGAAAACCAATGCCCTCTTCTGCCCTGCAGAATCCTGAAGAAGTTAATTTTAAGGCTGGCTCAGATAAAACTGCTTGCCTCCATACCTTGACAACTTGAAATCAATCCCTAGCATTCATATACCGAAAATGAGAAATTCATACAAGTTGTTATGTATGGAACCTCTACCATCCATGCCATGGCATACAAATTCATACATACACGTATACACACACACACACACCGTTTTTATTCGTTTTGTTTTCTGAGACATGGTTTCTCTATGTAACAGTCCTTGCAGTCCTGTAACTCACAAAAATCTGCTGGCCTTTTCTTCCAGAGTGCTGGAATTAAAGGCATGCACCACCACCACCACCTGGCCACACACAAACTCACAGCGATCAGCCGGCCTCTGCCTCCTGAGTGCTGGAATTAAAGATGTGCACCACCGTCAACTGAACACACAATGTTTAAAAAAAAAAAAAAAAAAAAAAAAAAAAAAAGGAGGGATTAGGTGGAACATTAGCCAGCCAGGTGTGGTAGTGTATGCCTTTAATCACAGCACTTGAGAGACAGAAGCAGGTAGATCTCTGAAAATTCAAGGCTATCCAGGGTTACATAGAGTACTATCTCAAAAAAAAAAAAAAAAAAAAAAAAAAAAATGAACAATGACATACCTCAGTTAATGTTTGCCTAGTATGCAAATACAAAAGGCCCTAGGTATGATCTTGAGCATTGTATAAAAGGAGGTATGATGGCATTTCTATAATCTCAGCAATAGAGGCAAGAGAATTCGAAATTCAAGATTATCACAGGAAACATTGGGAGACTAAAGCAAACCTATGTTACATGAAACTCTGTATTAGGAAGTCCAGCAGGCCTGTGGTGGAACATGCCTTTAATCCCAGTACTTGAAAGGTCATCCTCAGCTACATAGCAAATTAAAAGACCACCTTAGGTAAGTTACACAAGACTATGTAAGACAAGGGTAGTGGTGCATGATTGTAATCCCAGCAATTAGAGAATTCAGAGTGGGTCTCACTAAGTTGCAGAGACAGACCATGAAATGACGCTAAAGCAATTAACCTTCCTAGAATAGCTAGAATTATAGTTAACAGCTTAGCTCTTACCAAATTTTTAAAGTCACCTCCAACTTCATCAGAACATTTTTAAAAAATTAAGATAGTCAAATTCACCATGGTCAAAAAAAAAAAAAAATACTTTTCCAAAATCTTAAAGTATGTGTTTTATTGCTATTATTTGTGAGATAGTATTTCTTGTAAGAGGAGTTCTTAACTGGTCTATATAATAAAAAGCTGGAGTCAGATATAGAGGGAAATGCTCTGTTAGCAGTTCATAGTGGTGATTGTAACACAAGTCTTTATGTTGAGGGGATTATCAAGTTACCCATCCTGTGTTTACATTAGCACCAATGGTATGAACAATGAAAGATTTTCTTTATAAAAATAAACTAATCGGGAGGTGGTGGCATATGCCTTTAATCCCAGCACTAGGGAAGCAGAAGGATCTCTGTGAGTTCAAGACCAGCATGGTCTACGGAGTGAGTGCCAGGACAGCCAAAGATACACAGAGAAACTCTGTCTTGAAAAACCAAAACAAAAAATAATAATAAAAGTAATAATAATCATCTAAATGTGCAGAGCCGTGATGATCACTTTTAATCCCAGCACACAGAAGCAGGTGGATCTCTGTGAGTTCAAGGCCAGCCTGATCTGCAGCCTGTTCTACAGCCAATGTCAATGCCACACAGGACTCCCCCACTCCACCCCACCTTTTTTTTGTTTTTTGTTTTTGTTTTTCAAGATAGGGTTTCTCTGTGTAACAGTCCTGACTGTCCTGAAACTCATTTTGTATACCACTGAGATCCAACTGCCTCTTCCTCCCAATAAAGGAAGGTCTCACCAATGCCCAGCCTACAAGTACCCAGGAGGCAAACTTGAAGGACCAATAATACAGTGTTTGACTATACTATGAAAGCCCTTGAATTGATTTCATGCCCAGTCAGCAAACTACCATCAGTTATATTACTTCACTTCTATTCCAGATATGACCATACTTGTACCATATAATCTTACCTCTCCATTTTATCTGCAGAGGTAGAAGGAGCAGGAGCATCTTCAATTCTGTAATGAATAAAAAGAAACAATAAAAATGGAAAGTACTTTAAATTTGGATAGAAAATGTCACCTCTGTGGGTTCTAGGCCAGCCAGACTTTGCAAGTACCACTGAGCTACCTACATCCTCCAGTCCTAAGGATTACTCAATTATGCTGATCCAATGGCACAGGCACAAATTTATTAACTAGTATGGTTAAAGAACTAGGTTTTATTTCCAATATGTAACAGTTTTTTTTTTTTTTAGGAAATAAAAGACATGTCACAGGATGATGTCAAATTGTGCTGCATTTCAAAATATCCTAAAGCTTTGTACATTTCACTGTATACTATTAAAAGTTCACAAAACACTATAAACTTATCTCTGCCACCCGAGTGCTGGGATCAATGAAGGTGTGTGACACCACACCAGGCCCTAAAAATTAATTTTATGTTTTTAAATAACTGAGAGATTAGAGTAGACAAGTAACTTAGCAGGGTTTGGAGGCTCATGCTGTAATCCCAACACTCAAGAGGTAGAAGCAGGAGAATCAAATAAACAAAACAAAAACAAAAATAAGATATTTGAGGCCAGCAAAACCGCTCAACAAGTAGAAGTAGCTAATAACCTAAGTTTGAATCCCCAGAACTCACTCCTGAAACTGGAGTTGTCCCTGATCACCATGAGTGCTCTGGCACCACTTAAATACATATCATATATAATAATAAATAAGATAATATCTTTCAATATACTTGTTAAACAAATTATCAGACAGGCATGATGGTCCTTGTTTTTAATCTGCCAGCACGTGGGAAGCAGAGGTAGGCCTGAGTTTGAGGCCAATCTCATCTATACTGTGAGTTCCAGACAAGCCAGAACTACACAATAAAACCATATCTCAAAATAAAATAAACAATAGAAAACATTTCTAGGAATAGTCTCTTTTTAGCTGTCAAGGGAAGTGAGCCTATACAGTAAAGTCAATAGTTTAACAAAATTTACATATTTGTAATTCACACTTGGGAGGATGAGGTAGGAAGACAACTAAATTTGAGAAGAGTATGAAGAACACAATGAAACAGTCTCAAAAAAAATTATAATGAACTATTTTCATTTCTGTTGCTATGATAAACAACCCTAATCAAGGGCTGGAGACATCTCAGTGCTTAGTTAGATTGACTGCTCTTCCAGAAGAACTGGGTTGGGTTCCTGTATCCCCAATCATCCAAAACTCCAGTTCAAGAGGACCTGAAGCCCTCTTCTGGTTTCCTCAGGCACTGTATACACAGTGCAAATATCTATACACGGGCAAAACACTCACATAAAATCAAAAGCAAAAAAAAAAAAAAAAACACCTCATATCTGGCGAGTAGTAATACATGACTTTAATCCCATTGCTCAGGAGGAAGAGGCAGATGGGATGGATCTAAGTTTGAGGCCAACCTGGTCTACAGTTTCGAGACAGGGATTTCTCTGTGTAGAGAAATCTTGTTTTGAAAAACCAAAACACAAAGCATCTCAACCAACATCAGTATCAGGCTATAGTCCATTATATCATAACCCATAATGAACACAAAGAAAAAAAGATGTACCCATGCTGCCTGCTTGATTGCTACTGGCCTAACCCTCTCTACTATTATAGGGTCCAGGCTGTAAAACAATGGAATGGTTTTGTCACCGTAAGAAAATTCAAGACATACACAAGCCAACCTGATCTAGACAATTCTTGAGACTCTCTTCCCAAGTAATTTAATCGAAAACTAATCAGCACAGTGAGGAAATGCTAACAGAAATAAGTTGGAAAAAAGATGTTTTATTATTGTGTACTTATAATGGGTAAGGTGATGAGGGAGACAGTTGACATAACAAGGTACACATGTAGAAGTCAACAATTTTGTGAAACTGGTTCTCTTCTTTAACATTTAGTTGGGTTCCTGGGATAAAATTCAGGCCATCAGACTTACATAGAAAACATTTGTGATGCCAGGCGGTGGTGGTGGCAGATACCTTTAATCCCAGCACTTGGGAGGCAGAGGCAGGCAGATAGATCTGTGAATTTGAGGCCAGCCTGATCTACAGAGGAAGTTCCAGGACAGGCTCCATGAGACATGGAAATCATGTCTCAAAAGAAAAAAAAAAATAAAAAAGAATGCATTACGTCATCTCTCTGGACATCCCTCAAAATTTTAAGTCCATCCATTTTAAAGTATTTAAATGAAACCAGTGTCATCATATGAAAAAAGACTAAGAAACTAAGAAAGCAGGAAAAAAATAAACAGCTTAAAAAAAATATTTCATTTTTAAGCCACTTTTTTTCTTGACATAACACTCACTCCAGGGCTGGGCATTCGTGGCACACACCTTTAGTCCCAGAACTCAGGAGGCAGAGGCAGGCAGATGTCTGTGAGCTTGAGGCCAGCCTGGTCTACAGAGCGAGTTCCAGAATAGACTCCAAAACAATAGAGAAACCCTGTCTCTGAAAAAAAAAAAAAAAAAAAAAAAAAAAATTGTCCTGACAAGACTTTGAGTTTATACTATAGTCATGTGACTCAGTAAGAATTTACTCAAGAAAATGAAGATGAATAGATGGGCAGTTAAGAGCCCTTGTTATGCCTGTCAGTAGTGTTGAAAGCCTTTAATCCCAGCATGGGAGTTGAGTTCCAGTGGTTATACTATCTCAAATCAAAAAACAAGCAAGCAAGAAAAAGTGTACTTGTTGCTCTTAGGGAACCCAGATTTAATTCCCAGCACCCATAAGGTAGTTCATAACTATCTGTAACTCCAGTTCCAAGGACTCTGCAGTCCTCTTCTGTCTTCCTCATACACTAGGCATAAACATGGTCCATACATAAATGCAAGTAAAATATTCACATATATAAAATCTTGAAGATTTATTTATTTTTTTTGCTCTGTCTGCATGTACAACTTTATGCACACCAGAAGAGGGCATCAAAACCTACTGCAGGGGAGGGAAAAGATGGAGATGGCTCAGTGGTTAAGAGTATTGACTGTTCTTCCAGAGGGCCAGAGTTCAGTTCCCAGCACCCATATGGCAGCTAACAAATGACAGTAACTCCAGATCTGACACCTTCACACTGATATACATGCAGGCAAAACACCAATACACATTAAAAAAAAAAAAAAAAAAAAAAAAAAACACTATGGTTGTGACCCACCATGTGGTTACTGGAAAGTGAACTCAAGACCTGGAAAAACAAAAAAAGAAAAAAAAATTTTTTTTTTTTTTTACAAATTCTACATGTGGACGGACAGTAGTGGGGTACCACTTGAATCCTAGTCCTTGGGAGGCATAAGCAGGCGTGTGTTTGAAGCCAGCCTGGTCTACAAAGTGAATTCCAGGACAGCTAGAACTGTTACAAAGAGAAAACCTGTCTTGAAATAAATTCTACAGACTTCCCTAACTCAATCTACTCTAGCCCTAAGAAATCAATGAGGCAGCAGGAAATTGATGATTTGAGAACCACTGCTCTTCAAGAATGCACTAGGAAAGGAACCAAAAGGTGATAGGTAAAGTATGCAAACATACATTAATATCTGGTACAACTGTACTAATTGAAATGTCAACTAAAATACCTAAACCTATAGAAAACTCATTCAAAATTCTCACAGCCAACTTTACTTTTACGAGAGGCAAAATTCTAAAAAGTACAGGGATGAAAATATTAGCAGGCACCTAAAAAAGACAAAGGACACTTTTAATCCCAGCAGGCGGATTTCTGTGAGTTCAAGTCCAACCTGATCTACATAGCTAGCTCCAAAGCAATAAAGAAACCTTATCTCAACCCCCCCCCAAAAAAAAAGGACAAGGGAAGGTTAGAGAGTAATTCCTACTATATGGAAAACTCTCGTTTCCTTCAAATGATGGGCATTTTTGTGCACTATCCAAAAAAGTAGCTCATGTATGATTAGCACTGTGAAGCTCTCAAAGCAATTATTCCCTCTTTGGGATCCTTTACCTTAGCAGACTCATCATCTAGCAAATACGGAATGCTCCGTGCAGCGTTTACCGAAGAGGGTTATCAGTGTGAAAATGTCCCCTGAAGCAACCAAATCTCCGACCCACACACTGAAAATCTAAAGAATCCTGAGGGTTCACAGCAAAAGTGTTGAGTCGCAGAGCTTCAGTCCCGTAAAGACCCTCAGATTACAGTAAACTACAGAGGAATGCAGGAAAAAATTCACTACTTCCCACTGCTCTGGCAGGAGCTGCTGAAACCCCAAACAATGGAGTTTTCCCGCCTCCTCGAGGCCCCGCCCCCTTCTCCTGAGCTAGGACGGGGAACGCACGCGTGCAAAGTCCCGCCCTCCCCGAGGCCCCGCCCACTCAGGTCCCTTCAGTCCAAGACTCAATCCTCGTGTGTGTGGGTTTTTTTTTTCCTTTTTGGCGCCAAATCTGTTGGTCGTTTTCTAGATTCCTCTACAGACTCTCTAACAAGACTCACGCTAGAGCGCGAAAAGTAAAGGCTCAAGAGTCGACCGGAGACGGAGGGGCCCCGCCTCCCACCGGCAGCCCCGGGCCGGGGGAGGAGGAAAAGGGGCAGGCGATGGAGACAGCCGCCGCTGCCCCCGGCAAGATGGCGGCCGCGAAAAGCCGGGCAGGGGGCGCCAGCCACCCGCCGTTACCGCTAGTCGCCATCTCTTCCTGAGAGGGGCCCCTCCACAGACCTGCTCTCTCCGAATACCCGCAGTTGCTTAAGGCAGCTGTCCCACCCACCAGTCTGTCCCGCCCGCGAAGCCCAGTCCACCAGCTCTCCCCGCGGACCGGCCAGTGTCTCAAGCTCGCCACGGTCCGGCTTACTTGTCAGCGGAAGCCAGCTCCCCGGCGATGGCAGTAGTGGCTGTAGACTCTGTGGCCATCGTTCCCCTGACGTGGTGGGCCAGTGGGTAGAATACTGCCTGTGAAGAAAACAGAGAATTCAGGACAGCAAAGACTTACTCAGGTACAGAAAATGGCAGATTGGAGACCCCGCGCGATTGGGGCCCTCTTATATATGAGGCCTCTTGTCCCGCCCATCCACTTCCGGATCCTCCCCCCTGTGTTTAAAGGGCCAGAACTCAACACCTTTCCGTCACAAGGACACTTCCCCGCAGCCCTTATCTTCCCTCCCTGGTCCGCTTTTCCTTGAAAAAAAAAAAAAGAAAAGGAAAATAAAAACAAACAACAAAAGAACTTCCTGCTCCTGTAGCTGCTAGCCGTGTTAGAAGCACCAGAATCTTTGGTACTACAACTTCTGATGGAGTCAGCCTAGAGCTTCCACGTTAAGTGGAGCCAGTGAGGCTCTGCGGGTGTGAGAAGAGTAGCCGAGGGTTTCTTTCTGGCGGGGATACCCGAGAAGGTAACAGGTCTTCTGTAAGCCCTCTCAGTCTTAACGGATGGAAACGCAAGAGCCGAGCACGAGTACAACAGCAACGGCTAGAACTGACCAGAGAGACTCGTGGCTCTAGGCCCCGGCAACTAATGACGAAAAAAAGATGCTGTTCTAGGATTGGCTACAGATAAAGCTATAGCGCTAGATTCAAAACTCAGAGGAGCAAAGGAACGGATGTTTTCTCCTCCCTCTAGATCCACCTACTTTGGCTGGCCCAATCTTGTGATGCTGTCATCTGACACCCTACCCTACCCACATTCCAACACTGAGTTGAGTTGAATTCCTGTACTTAAAACACTTTTAATTTTTTAGATATTCTACTTACATCTTTTGTATACATGAAAGGGAGAGGGACTCACAATATATCCCTGGCTGGCCTCTAACTCACAGAGATTAGCCTCCCAAGTGCTGGGATTACAAATGAGCCACATCCATCTTGTTTTACAACTGTCAGTAACTCCAGTTCCAGGTATCCAGTGTCCTCCTCTAGCCTCTAGAGGCACTAGGCACATACATGGTTCACATATATGCATGCATGTAAACATTCATACACATAAAATAAAAGTGGAATTTAAAAAAAAATAACTTCTTTGGTGGGGCATGGTGGCACATGCCTTAAATCCCAGCACTCAGGAGGCAGAGGCAGGTGGATCTACCTGAGTTCAGGCTAGATTTAGGACACTCTGGGTACAGTGAGAAACCATAATAATAATAATAACAACAACAACAACTTGTTTAAAAGGCTAGGTGTAGTCACAAACATCTTTAGTATCAACACTCCAGAGGCTATGAGTTCCAGGCAGCCTGATTTATATAGTGAATACTAGGACAACCAAGGCTACGTAATAAGATCATGTCTCAAATGTTTTTAATTTTTTAAATTATGTACATGATGTGTCTCCAAATTCTAGTCCTCTAGAGAGCAACAATTGTTCTCAACTGATGATCCGCTTTTCCAACAACTGATTTTCCCTTTTTCAATTAACTGTTAGATCCTTACTTTTACTTTTTTGAATTTTTGTTTGTTTGTTTTTTGTTTTATTTTGTTGTGGGTTTTTTTTTTTTTTTTTTTTTGAGACTGTTTCTCTGTGTGACAGCACTAGCTGTCCTGGAACTCTCTTTGTAGATTGGGCTGGCCTCAAACTCACAAAGATCCACCTACCTATGCCTCAAGTGCTGAGAATAAAGACGTGCACCACCACGTCCAGCTTTTTTAATTTTTTTAATGTTAAACAAGATAAGATATTTGAATCAAGAACTTCTGTGGTTGTTTTCTTTCTTAAAACAGGGTTTCTCTGTGTAGCCCTAGCTGTCCTGGAACATGCTCTATAGAACAGGAGGACATCAAATTCAGAGATCTGCCTGCCTCTGCCTCCTGACCACTAGGTTTTGTTTTTGAGACAGTCTCATATAGCTGATCCTAGCCTCCAACTTTGTATAGCTAAGGATGATCTTGAATTCCTGATCCTCCTGCCTCTGCCTCCCAAGTGCTAGGATTATACCTGAGTGTCACCACACCCCAATTTTCTGGGGTTTTTGAGATCCGGTCTGACACAGCCCAAATGAGATAGAGTGAGACCCTGCCTCAAAAAGAAAAAGAAGTTAAAACAAAGTCATTAGAATGTGTTTTAAATCCTGACTGGTTTGCTGTTAAGAAGTTGGGAGTGGGGGAAACATCTTTAATCCCAGTACTGGGGAGGCAGAGGCATGCCTATCTCTGGGAGTTTCAGGCCAACATGGTCTACATATCAAGTTCCAGGATGGCCACAGCTACTGTAGTGAAACATCTCAAATAGAAAGGGAAGGAAGGAAGGGAGGGAGGAGAGAGAGAGAAAGGAAGGAAAATTGGAAGGGCTGATGAACTGGCTAATCAGGCCTAAGTACTCCAGTTCAATACCTGGATCTCATAAAATGTTAGGGGAGAACTAAACTGCCAAGAGTTGTCCTGACCTCCACACCGTCATACCGAGCTCAATCTTTGCCCCAGATTGATTTTCTAAAAATTCTTTAATGTAATAGGAAGCTGTAGAAGGATTCAGAAACACAACCAAGGGTGAGGGGAGTAGCTCAGTGGTAAAAGTAATGTCTGCTTAGAGGGAGAAAGAAAAAAGAGGGATTGGATCCTTCTATGGGCTAACAGAATTACATTGTTGTTTTGTTTTGTTTTTTAAGATTGAATTTTTCTATAGCTTTCAAGCCTGTCCTGGAACTTGCTTTATAGACCAGGCTGGCCTCAAACTCATAGAGATCAGACTGCCTCTGCCTCCTGAGTGCTGGGATTAAAGGCAAGCACCACCAACACCTGGCTAAAATGATGTTAAATTTCATCCAGTACTTAGAATTTATTTATTTTATGTACATTGGTGTTTTACCTGCATGTATATCTGTGTGAGGGTGTCAGATCCCCTAGAACTGGAGCTACAGACAGCTGTGAGCCAGCCTGAGGGTGCTGAGAATTGAACCCAGGTCCTCTGGAAGAGCAGTTAGTACTCTCAATTGCTGAGCCATTCAGGCCTCTTTCCTTAGTTTAGTAGTTCGTGACCAGCCTGATCTGCAGAGTGATTTCCAGGACAGCTAGGTCTATACAAAGAAACCCTGTCTCAAAAAAAAAAATAAATAAATAAATAAATAGTGCTTGCCTATAAGCAAACTGAAGGGTATTTTGAACCCCTAGGCAGGTGGTTCTGGCCTGTATAAAGAAACAAGCTGAGCAAACCATAGAAGCTAGTAAACCATACTTCTTCATGGCCTCTGAGTCATTTCCTGCTTCTAGATTTCTACCTTGATTCCTGCCCTGACTTCCCTCAGAAATGGAGTATGACCTGAGAGTTATAATCTAAAATAAACTCTTTCCTTCCCAAGTTGATTTTGATCATGGTAGCAATAGAACTTTTAATGGTTCTCACAGTCTTCTTTGAACACTTGGTTCCTAGCTGTTGGTACTAGTTTGGAAGATTCTGGGATATTTAGGATGTGGTGCCTTACAGGAGGAAAGGGATCACTAGGGGAGGACCTTGAGGTTTATTGCTTCATTTTGATATCTGAATGGCAATTTCTTCTTTCAGATGTGAGCCAGCAGCCTCATTCTCCCATCACCATGCCTGCCACCATGTCTTCACTGCTGCAAAGGACTGTGTCCCCAAAAACCATGAACCAAAATATATCCCTGCTGCTGTAAGCTATATTCTTAAATCTTTATTACCATATGTTAATTATCAATGATGGATTTCGTTACATTTTCATATATATCTTTTGATTATATTCATATTCTATTACCCTTTTTTAATTTTATTTCATTTGCATTGGTATTTTGCCTGCTTGTATATCTGTGTGTCAGATAGGCATAAGCTGCTATGTGGGTGCTGGGACTTGAACCTCTGTCCCCGCTGTAAGCAATTTTGATCAGGTTTTGAGCACAGTGAAGAGGAACTAACACAGATAATGTGGTAGTTGTAATGACAATGGCCCCATAAATTCATGTATTTGAATGTTTTTAGTTGGTGGGACTTTGGGGAAGGATTTGGAGGTCTGGCCTTGTTGGAGATGTATCACTTGGCGTAGGCTTTGAGGTTTCAAAAGCCCAGACCAGGCCCAGACTTAGTTTTTCTCTACCTCCTACTTGCTGAAAAGATACTGCCCCAACTCTGCCTGCCTGCTGCCATATTCCCATCATAATGATCTTGGCTGGACTCACCCTCTAAGACTGTAAGTCCCCAATTAAAAGCTTTATTTTATAAGTTGCTTTTGTCATAGTGTCTCTTCACAGCAATAGAACAGTGACTAAGACAGAATTTTATATCTTACCGGTTTCGTGTTGCTTTGTTGCTTTCCATCTTGATCCAACTTTTCACTTAAAAAAAAAAAAAAATAGTTGGGCAGCAGTGGTGCATGCCTTTAATCTTAACACTCAGGAGGCAGAGTTGAACCTCTGTGAGTTCATGGCCAACCTGGTCTACAGAAGCCAGTTCCAGGACGGGCTCCAAAGCTACAGAGACACCCTGTCTCTGGGGTTAAAATGTATAGGCCAGGCAGTAGTGGAAGATGGTTCTCTTTCACCTCACATGGATTCCAAGGGTGAAACTTAGGATGCAGCAGGCACCTTTACTCACTGAACCATCCTTTGGAGTTTTTTGGTAACTATTTTGTGTGTATCTGTGTATGTGTATGTGAATGTGTAAGTGTAGGTGGCCAGAGTCATCAGATCTGGCCCCTTGGACCTAAAGTTACAGGTAATTGTGAGCTGCTAGATATGGAAGTTGGGAATTAACTCTAGTCCTCTGCCAAGAGCAATATGTGCTCTTAACTATTGAAACACCTCTGGCCCTCACTGGGCATCTTGACAGCCTGATTTTTTTTTTTTTTGGGGGGGGGTCTTATGGAATCTCAGACTGGCCACACAAAAAAACATGAATTTCTGATCCTCCTGCCTCTATGGCCCTAGTGCTAAGATTACAGGTGCTCAACTACATATTCACTTTACTTGGTGAAGAAGTTTTCAACTTGCTAGGCAAGCATTCTACCATCTGAGCCACATTCCCAGATCCTCTAACACAATATAATCAACAAGCCCTTTATTACTAGGATCCTACCATTTTGCCATCATCCTTCTCCTCCCTTCACACCTCTGTACTCACTTTTAGTTTCTGTCACATCTTTTTCAAGCTTTTCCAGTATCTTCTAATTTCAAAGCTTTTCCCTAAGCTGTTCAATTTGGAATGCAGTTCCCACTCTTAACTCCTTTAACTAACTAATTAATCTATTCATCCTTAAGATCTCAGCTAATTAAATAAGGAGGCTTTTTGATGTATTTCTTCCAACTATAATTAAACTAATTATGCAATTACTTAATGTCTGTCTCAAGTAGACTATAGGGACCTGCATATCTTAGTAATACTATACTCCCAGGGACTAGAACTATGTTTAAACCACATGTACTTATAAATATTAGAAAAATGCTTTAACTTGGGAGGCACCATGTGGACAGAATTTAGAGCCAGTTTGAATCACTAAAATCTATTAGTAACTCTGAGGGAGTGACAAAGTACTTATTGTCTTAATGTGAAAGCTTTGGGCCTGATTGATACCTACTTTCTTTGGATTGCCTATGCACACTCACTACAGTACCCAAGAGAAAAAAGCCCACCTCCACCTTTCATAATTCTGCAAGCTGAGATCCCCAAACATATAAAATGTGTGTGTGTGTGTGTGTGTGTGTGTGTACACACACACACACTTTTTTTTTTTTGGGGGGGGGGTCTTCCTATTCCTAGATTTAGGCACTGACTAGGGCAGGAAAAGGTAAAAATTCAAGTTTTGCCTTTTAAACCTCAATAAGTACCAGAATATCAATTCAAAGATGACAAATTTATGGCATTTTTATAGTGTTAGGGAAGCATGTAGAGCCTCTACAAATAAATAAATAATGAGCAAATAGTAAAAAGCCACTAGATGGCACTACCTGAATTCAGCTGTATACAGGTCACTCAAAAGCCAATAAAAATAAGGGCAAGTTCTATGTAGCAATCCTGAATCTGTGTGCTGTCCCTGAGGACAATTTTCCTCCCAAGCCTAATAGGACAAGTAAATCAAGCAAACAGAGCTTTACTTTATACTTTAATGGCTTTATTGGCTTCTTTTTCTAGGGGTAGCAGGCAACACACTTAGCAGGAGAGCTGAAAGGGAAGCTGAGAAACTATGGCCTCAGTAGGGGTCATTAAAGGGATACAGAGGGTGTCCAGCATCTCTGGGAACACTCTTCCCATCCACCTAAAAAAGAGAGACAAATAAATGAATACATTAGCAAGCACTGACCCTCCAACTCTTCTGAAGAATTTTACCTATCTACAGCACTATGACAGCTGACCTTAGCAGGACCCAAGCCTCAGTGAATGCTAAATCAACAGTGATTCCAGTGGTACATGGTTGATCTTGCCCTCAAGACTTCGTAGACTCAACTGAAATAATGTGCCTAGAATCTGTTTACTTCCTTATATGTAACAGACATCAACAAGGGTCAAGAATGTTTTCTGAGCTCCTTTCTCTTTTTTTAAAAAAATTATTTTTATTTTATTGGAGTTTTGCCTGTATGTATATCTGTATGAGAGTGTTTGGCCCTGGCATTACAGACACAGTTGTGAACTGCCATGTAGGTGCTGGGAATTAAACCCAGATCCTCTGGAAGAGCAGTCGGTGTTCTTAACCACTGAGCCATCTCTCCAGCCCCCTAAGCTCCTCTCTTATTAACTAGAGAAATTAAATAGGTTACAAGATGATCAAGAAGCAGGACTAAGACTCACAGGTTATGTACATTACACCTGAGACATACTAATTTGCCCCAACTTCAAGAGAACGAGACCATTGGAGAAGAGCTTGATGTAGCCCAGAACTTGGTAGGATGAGGCAAGAGAATGGAGAATGAAGTTTAAAATCTGCCTAAAAGGAAAGAAAGGGAAAGAGAAAGGCAAAGGGAAAGAAAGAGAAATCAGATAGGAGAAACAGAAGTTCAAAATCAGCCTGAGCTGTACAGTGAGTTCTGTAACAGCATGAAAAACAGTGTAAGTCCCGGTCTCAAAAAAGAATAAAAGAAAGAAAAACCCAAACAAACAAAAGCAAAAAAACAAAAAATGGGGAGGGGAACCAGCATTCAGAAGGCAGAGACAAGCAGATCTCTGTGACTCCAGGCCAGCAAGGGCAACATAGTGAGACCCTGTCTGTCTCCAAATAAATTTTTAAAGAAGGGAAGGAAGACAGGGAAGAAGGAAGCAACGAAAAAAACAAGTACTGAATCCTGGGTAGCAATCCCACCAACATCCTGTCCCTTCTCTAGCCAGCAAGCCTGAGGCCATACCTGGGCCATTACAACCCAAACCTCCTTACCGTAATCATGGGCACAATATACCGCCAATTTTTGTTCAGAGCATCTAATTGCTTCATTTCCTCTGGGCTAAAGGTGAAATCAAACACCTGAGGGATAGAAAAAAATAAGCCTTGTGAGTGGTAGCTGGAGTCCCTCACTACTGGCTTCTTAGCAGGCAGAATCTGGGCCAGAATTTATCTCAATAGATTAACGAAGACAGAACTTGATGACTGAGTACCTGAATGTTCTGAAGGATGCGAGAAGGAGTGATGCTTTTAGGGATACAGATTACTTTCCGCTGAACCTGCCATCTAGGTGGGGAATAAAGACAAGAAAAATGAGTTAGCATTCAGAAGCATTATTTTAACCTTCCTAATTCCTTTTTGTTTTTTTGAGACAGGGTTTCTCTGTGGTTTTGGAGGCTGTCCTGGAACCAGCTCTTATGTACCAGGCTGGTCTTGAACTCACAGAGATCCTCCTGCCTCTGCCTCACAAATGCTGGGATTAAAGGCCTGTGCCACCAATGCCCGGTACCTCCTAATTCCTAGACCTTCCTAAATCCTAGACCACCTGAGCTTCATAGTAGTCTCACTCCATACCACATGGCAAAATCCTCAGCATTACTCTAACAAATTAAAAAAAAAATCATTTGAGTAAGGTATGGTGGCTCAAACCTTTAATCCTACATTCTGGAGGCAGAGGCAAGTGGAGCTGTAAATTCCTAGCCAGCCTAATCTAGACAGAGTTCCAGGCTAGCCTGTCTCAAGAGAATAGTTCCCTCAGTCCTTCCTTCCCAATGAGGTCTTTCCATACCAGAGGCATATTCCTTAAAAATGTTCCATACCTGAGCAAGATCTGAGCTGGAGATCGGCCATGCTTTTCAGCTAGCGCCAAGACCACTGGTTCCTCAAGAAGGACTGGCTCATCAGGATGGCGCCAAGCACGATCAGAAGAACCCAAGGGGCTATAAGCAGTCACCTCCAAGCCTCGTGCTTGACAATGAGCAATGAGCTCATTTTGAGCCAGGTATGGATGGCATTCCACCTGCAACAAGTAACAAAACTTATGCACAGAGTGACCATACTCAGCTTACTAAAAACTCTGGATATAATAGCCCTCCATTGCTGACCTCTAAGACCACTTGTTTTCACATTCTTCCAGGACTTCAAATCCACCTTTATACAGATAACTCCTTCAATATCAATTCTGACAACTTGCCATCTCCACTAAAGAGATTCATCATCTTACTCCTGCACCGTACACACAACCCATCTTCCATTCATCTGTTTATAGTGCTCACCTGCAGGACAGCTGGGCGCACAGAGGCCACACTGAGAATATCATCAATCTGCCGACTGTTGAAGTTGGACAAGCCCAAGGCTTTTACAAGCCCCTTTGCCACCAGTGCTTCCAGAGCCTTCCAGGTCTCCTTATAGTGAGTAGAGTCATATCGGATGGTTCCATCGGCATTCTTGGGAAAGGGATTATCTCCCCTCCTGAGTGAAAAAGAGGCCCCCACCACCAAGGGTTGGCAAAAATGTTTGCTCACTCAGCTATTCCATGTGCTATACCTTAAGACCAAGGGATAAACTGACAAGAACTAGGAACAGCAATGCCTTTTTTATCCTTCTACTTTATAACTCAGGTATTTCATCCACATGGAATGTCTATCCTCCCCCCTCCCTCGGTTTTCTGAGACACGATTTCTCTATATAACTGGCTATTCTTGAACTCTGTAGACCAGGCTGGCCTGAAACTCAGAGATCTGACTGCCTCTGCCTCCTGAGTTCTGGGAGGATTAAAGGCATGCACCACCACTGCCTGACTCTTCTCCTTTTCATGAACCTATATCTTCCCCCCCAAGACAAGGTTTCTTTATAGCCTTCGCTGTCCTGGAACTTGACTTATAGACCAGGCTGGCCTCAAACTCAGAGATCCAACTGCCTCTGCTTCCCAGGTACTGGGATTAAAGATGTTTACCACCACACCTGGCTCAGAGGCCCAGATTCTATCTTTTTCTCTAATACAGCTTCCTAAATGCCATCTTCTTTGGGAGAGTTCTGGCTATCTGTCAAGGGTACAGTGCTGATTTAAGACTTCTCACACCCTCTGTTGAGAAACACTCACAGCTAAAACCTTGGGGGACCTACTGTAAAAGAACAGCAGCATGTTTCCTAAATGAACAATAGATCACTAGAGACTACTCATATAAACGTAGGGTATATACTGAATGTTATCTTTATTATATACCTAAACACCTGGCTACGGAAAAGGCAAGGATGCCACAGTACATAAGCTCCTCTGTTTGTTGCATAGATAAATGTTCTTATCCTGTTATGCAGCTGTGAATATAATAAATTACCAATACTACCAAACCCAAACTTCAACTTCCAGGAAAAGTTGCAGGGGCAAGACTTACTCGAAGGCATAAGGCCAGTGCATCAAATAGAGGTCCAGATATTCCAATTGGAGATCAGCCAGTGTCTTCCGGAGGGCAGCTTCTACATCCTCAGGGTGGTGCTTAGTGTTCCACAGCTTGGATGTCACAAACAGTTCCTCTCGAGGCACTGCCTGTGACAGAGGCAGAACCCACTGTGAGAAGAGCCCTGGGCACCCAGTCTTACCCACCCATACCTATGGGAGAGGAACAGAGGTATGCCCCACACTGTGACCTAATGCAAAATCATTAACTTAAAATGACGTTGTCTTTTTCTTCCTTCCTTTCTTTCTCCTCCCCCACCTCTTTCTTTACTTTTTGGTTTTTCGAAACAAGGTTTCTCTGTTTAACAGCCCTGGCTGTCCTAGAACTCACTCTGTCCACCAGGCTGGCCTTGAACTCACAGAGATCTGCTTGCCTCTGCTTCCCCCTCCCAAGTGCTGGGATTAAAGGCATGTGATACCACTGCCTATTTAGGTTTTCTTTTTAATGCCACCATGTAATTCTCAAGTATATACTTTATAGATGACAATGTCAAAAGGGTGGACATGCTGGGAGCTAATGCCAGTTTCCCTCATCCAAGACCGAGTCCCAGCTTCAGCTCTAAGTTCTCATAGCCCATTGATTTGTGTCCCCAATTCTCACCTTGCCTGGTCCCACATTTTCCTTCAGGGCCTCCCCAATTTCAGTCTCGTTGCCATAGACAGCAGCACAATCAATGTGGCGGTAACCTACACTAAGGGCATATTTAATGGCTGCTTTCACCTGCCAGGAGAGAAAAAGAGATTTTTAGTTCCATTGGTCTGAGGTGGTAAGGGAGAAAGATTATATGAAGGTTACCATGCAGGTCAGAGGTGAGAAGACGAAAAATAATTCTAGGCTAGAGATATACTCAGGTGGCAAACAGCTTTCCTAGCATGTATAAGTCTTAAATTTGACCTCTAGAATAAACACAGACTGTGCTGCCTTATGCCTATAAATGGACACTCAGGAAATAAAGGCAGGAGGATCAGAAGTTGAAGCTCAGGTCTAGAGAGATGGTTCAGCAGTTAAGAGCACTGGCTGCTCTTCCAGAGGACCTGAGTGCAGGTCCCAGGATCTATAAGGTGGTACGCAATCTTCTGTAACTCTGATTCCAGGGGAACAGGTGTACTCTTCTGATGTCTGTGAGCACCAGGTACACACATTGTATACATACATACACAGATACAAAACATGTATAAATAAATCTAAAACAAAACAAACAAAAAAGGCTGACTCAAATGCCTTTAATCCCACAACTCAGGAGGCAGAAGTAGGTAGAGCTCTTTGAGTTCAAGGTTCTACAGAGCTAGTTCTAGGAAAGTCAAGGCTACACAGAGAAATCCTGTCACAAAAAAATAAAACAAAACAAAAAAATTCCATTAAAAACTTTTCCTAACTCTTTAGCTGGAGAGATGGCTCAGAGGTTAAGAGCACTGACTGCTCTTCCAGAGGTCCTGAGTTCAATATTCAATTCCCAGCAACCACATGGTGACTTACAACAATCCATAATAGACCTGGTGCCCTCTTCTGGCGAGCAGGCATGACACTGTATACGTAATAAATAAATCTTTAAAAAAAAAAAAAAAAAAAAAAACAAACTTTCCCTAACTCTTGTCTATACAGTTGACCCAATAACTTCCCAAGCTTTGGACTATGCTCCCAACTCCAAAATATGTACTTGGGAAAGGCTCAGTTCTCAATAAGCTACATGTGTAGGTCAGGAAATGTGATCCCAACACGGGATGGTAAGGAATATATTAGGACTCAAGGACTCCAACTCTGCCATTGCATTATGTAGAGAAGCTCTATGAGCTTCAGTCCCTCCTGAGTCAGCTAAGGAAACTAAGGGCTCATGATTGTTCCTTCTTCCCTCATCTCTTCCCACTACCCATATCCTTACCAGAAACATTATAGGGGTTACTGAGGAAAATATAGGACCCCTCTTGCAAATCCCTCCTACTCCCAGACAAAGACTCAAGAAGCCTCCCTCCTCTTCCAAGTCCCTCACCTGGCCAGGGTTACTCTTCCATGTCCCCAGACCAATCAGAGGCATCTTCTGTCCAGTGTGCAGGAGGACATAGGAAGCCATCTTCGCCCCCTAACACATGGATAGGAAAAAAATGGTGAGGAAGTTAGTGTCACCTTGCACCTAGCCATCTACTGCTGTAAAACATGGTTCGGAAAAGGGGTAGAAACAGGAGTGGTGCCCGATGTGGGGAGCAAACACTTCGTTATATTTGGGCCTGTGAGCACAGAGACAAGGTACCTGAAATCAACCAAAGCAAGGAAGTAGCTCCTAGACAAACACTAGCCACACTACTAGCCTGGCTGGTCTTAAAGAGCAATGTTCAAAAGCTCCAGTTTGAGAGCAGCCCAGTGATACAGCACTTGTCTAGCAACACACATACATGTAACACAAACCCAGCAGAGATAGTCTATAACCCCAGTACCCAGGAAACTGAGATGGTAGAAGGATAAAAAGTTCCAAACCAGCTGGGCGGTGCTGGTACACACCTTTAATCCTAGCACCTGGGAGGCAGAGTTCGAGGCCAGCCTGGTCTACAAGAGCTAGTTCCACGACAGGCTTCAAAGCCAAAGAAACCCTGTCTTGAAAAACCAAAAAAAAAAGTTCCAAGCTAGCTTGTCTCAAGAAATAAAAAACCTTTCCTAGCAGCACTTAGGAGGCAGAGGCTGGTGGCTCTCTGTGAGTTCCAGATGAGCCTGGTCTACATAGTGACTTCTAGGCCAGTCAGGGCTAGTAAATAACAACAACCAAATACTAAACCAAAACAGAAGGAAAAAAAAAAGTATATTAGAAGGCTCAGTGGATAAATGACTTGACCTGAGTTTGATCCCAAGAACCCACATGGTATTGGAAGAATGCTGATCCACAAGTTGTGCTCTGACATCTAGGAGACACTCACACAAACATAGTAACAACAAAAAGAATGTGCTCATATAATCCCAGCATTAAGGAAGCTGAGATAACAGGATCACTGTGAGTTCAAGACCAGACTAAGAGACCTAGCAAGATTGTCACAAAATAAAACTGAAAAGGGGAAGCTGGAGAAGACTCAGTTGGTAAAGTACTTGCCACTCAAATATGAGAACTATAAACTCAATCCTAGAATCCACATAAAAGCCAGGCATGATGTTATCTCCATACACATCTGTAAGCCTATCCCTGAACCCAAACATATAATATAAAAGCACACATAATCACCAGGCACTGGTGGCACACGCCTTTAGTCCCACAACTCGGGAGGCAGAGGCAGGTAGATCTCTGAGTTCAAGGCCAACTTGTCTAATGGGGGGGGGGAGCAAACAAAAAAGGGACACATAATCAGTCTCACCCTTATGCCCCCACCTGAGACAGGGTTTCTTGGTGTTATACCCCAAGCTATCCTGAAACTCACTTTGTAGACCAATTTGGTAAATCTCTTTATTAAAAAAGAAAAAAAGAGAGAGATTGAAAGGGGGCTATGACTTTAACCCTGTGATAAAAGGATCCTTTGGGGGTGTTTGTTTTGGTTTTTGGTTTGTTTTGGTTTCTCTGTATTGCTTTGGAGCCTGTCCTGGAACTCACTCTGTAGACAAGACTGGCCTCAGAGATCCACCTGCCTCTGCCCCCCCCCCCCCAGTGCTGGGACTAGAGGCGTGGGCCACCAGTGCCCGGCTGACCCTATGTTTAATACTACCTAAAAAGAGGGAGAGAGAGAGAGGAAGAGGGGGTGGGAAAGAGAGACAGAGAGAGAAATATGCTGGTCTTTCCCAAGATTCAAAGGGAAAAAGTCTTTCCTACAAGGGGAAACTAGACATATAACTTCAATACAGCACAAAAGTAGTGAAGCATAAATTTCCAACAGAACAAAACAGATAATTAGAGCATGTGTCCACAAGCTAGGAGTATAGTTCAGTTGGTAGAATGCTTGCACAGGTTTAATCCCAGGACCATATAAACCATGGTTGCACAAGCTTGTAATCCCAGTACTAAGGGGTAAAAGCAAAATGGTGAGAAATTCAAGGTTATCCTTTGCGACATAGCAAGCTGGAGGCCATCATAAGCTATATATAGAGACCTCATCTAGAGAGAGAAAAGTCCAGGCATGGTGGCACATGCCTTTAATCCCAGAGGCAGAAGGAAATCTTTTTTGAGGCAAGCCTGGTCTACAAAGCACATTCTAGAACAGTGAGGACAACATAGAGAAACCCTATTTCAAACAAAATAAGACAAAACAAGTAAAAGATAGGCCTATGGCAATAAGCCTATAATCCCAGCCATTTGGAAGGAAAAGGCAGGAGGATTGCAAGTTCAAAACCTACCTGGGCTACATAGTGAATTGAAAGCCATCCTAGAAAATGCAGAGAAACTTTATCTCAAATTAAAAAAAAAAAAAAGAGGTCTGGGGACATAATGATAAACCAGCTACTGTTTATAATCTATTTCTCAAGGATTGGGCTATCCCCACCACCTTACCTACAAATGGTTCTGTACTGCCTGTTTTAGGAAATGGCAATCATGTCTTTGTTATAACTACTTTGTTATGATCACCTTCTATAGTGAGATATTCACCTTGTCTGCACCTGTCATAGACCACGCCCATTGGGGGTGGAGACAGGGCCAGACATGACCTGGGGGAACTAAGGCTGAGTAGGGGGCTCGGAGAGCTTGCTTGCAGCAGGGGACAGGAGCACATCAGGAGTCATCCTTGGGACCAGGAACCTATTGGTGTTCATCTGTCTATGTTTTAAGTTATTTCTCCCTGAATAAACATCTACTTGGCTTATTTGTTTCTCCTGATCCTTATTAAACATCAATAACCTTCCTATGTTCTGCTACTATAAACCAGCCTATTCCCTACCAAATCCCCCATTTGGAAACACCCTACACCTGAACTATAAATCCTTGTCTTCCTCACATCCAGTGCTGATCTCTTGAACCCCATCTTAGGGGGAGGTAGCCTGTGTACACAAAAAAATTATCAGTAAACAATTGAAATATGCATAAATTAACTGCTTTAATACATTTGACCATGATGATTAGGGTCTTTCACCTCACATCTTTGAATTAATTGTGTAGTGGTGGAATACTGACCTAACATGTTTGGGACCCTGGGCTCAATACCCAGTAAGTAGGGAGCAAAGTAAACACGACTTATCAAAAAGAGAAGGGAGAAGGAATATTTACTTCAAGAGCAAATGAATTAGAAATAACCTTTCCCCTTGATCTTATCGGTACCATAAATATGCTCCTAGGACTGATCTACCTGCCAATAACATCTTTATAAATATGAACTTTGTTCCCAAGTTTTGAAAGATGTATGGGCAGGTAATAATACAAGTTGTGAGTAAATGGACACACCAAAATTGTCTTCCTTGTATTTCTGACTGAAAGAATTTTATAGCCTAGCAAAGCTTGAATGTAAAAGCTATTCTTTCTGCTAAAACTACAACAAAACCAGTCAATCCAGGCAGCAAACCAAACTGCCAAGTGCAATCATCTTTGTAACCAGACTTCCTAGGGATCAAGCAAGCAGCTCTATGGCTAAGTTCCTACAGGGGCTTAATATTAAACAATAACCTGTTTACTTCCCCCAGGTTTCTCCAGCAAGCACATGAGATGGCTCTGAAATTACAAGGGCGGAGACTGAACAAAGGCCTAGCTTATAGGGAACATGAAAGAAATCTTAATCTTGCTTCTTCATTACTTTTGCAGGTGAAATTAAAAACCAAAGGAGCAGGATAAAAGGCAGGAGGAACAAAGTTCTACAAAGAACAAAACTTCTGAGAGAGGAACAAAGGGCCACAGCAGAAGTAGATTTCCTTCAGGACAGAAAATCATCCTCCACTGCCTTGTGATTTTCTAGTAGTCTGCTTTAAGCAACAGCATAGCCCAGTAGAGTTGCTGACAAGACAAAACTGTTTCCTGACTCCACCCCCACCCATGCCAGTGTCCTTTGACTTTTTCCCCATCCTCTTTCCTTTGGTCAATTTGTGTTTTCAGTGACCATCTGAAACCCTGACTTTCCCATACCAGTTTAGTAAGCAGGTTTTGTTCTTCTGGGCCTTTCTGTCATCATGATCTATAGGTGCCTCGGAATGCAGAATAGTCTAGGACCTAGAACTGCACAAACCTGGGTTTGCTCTCAGCTCCACTATGTCAAAAGAAGCTACATCTAAAGCAGTATGCACAGTGCCTGACCATTCTCCTCTTTCTGTATATACTAATTCACCAGAAACCCAAAGCCCAAACCAGACAACATGCTTACAGTATTTATTAGTCATGGAACTCTTTAAAGTTATCAATCTAATGGGCAGTCCTGACAACCTGAGTTCAGTCCTTAGTATCCATCCACAGTAGAAGGAAAGAACCAATGCCTAAAGTAACTTACCCTCTGGGACCTCCACACCCACTTACAGAGTAATAACAAAATATTTTTTAAAATATCTCATATAAGGCTGGAGAGATGGCTCAGAGGTAAGAGCACTGGCTGCTCTTCCAGAGGTCCTGAGTTCAAGTCCTAGCACCCACATGGTGGCTCACAACCACCTGTAATGAGATCTGGTGCCCTCTTCTGGCCTGCAGGGATACATGAAGGAGGAACATTGTATACATAATAAATAAATTTTAAAAATTAAAAAAAAAACTCATCTAAGGGAGCTCTAATATTCTCCTGCTCTTCTAAAAACCCTGCTTAGAAATCATCCTAAATATATAATATTGGCCCAGATTTGTTCTGTTTGCTGCATCCCGTTAGGTCATTGCTTGGTGGTGGTTGTGTCTGCCTTTAATCCCAGCACTTAGGAGGCAGAGGCAGGTAGATCCCTGTGCCTTCAAGGTCAGCCTGGTCTACAGAGTGAGTTCCAGGAGAGTCAAGATACACAGAGAAATCCTATTTTGAAAAACAAAAAAAATTCTGTTAGAAGCCAGTGGTCAGGAGGCACAGGCAGAGTTGGGGATGGGGTAGGAAATGGACTGACACAAAACAAACAATAAATAACAATAAACATACAAGCCCGAAACCTCTCTAAAAATATATACTTCCTGAGTTAGGTATGATTATGCACATCTGAGGCTAAGTAAGGCAAGCTGATCCACAAGCTCATGGTAACACCATACTACATACTAAGATCCCATCTCAAAAACACCAAAGTAAAAAAAATATAAAAATTTCCTGAGGCTGGGTTATCAATCTTTTATAGTGTATTTACATCAGCCCCCACTGTTTCTGCCTTAGCTGTGACCACTACCATCCCTTGCCTAAACCAGGTACTATTTTTAAGTTGGACTTGTTCAAAATCCATTCACCAAATCCAATCATGTGACTCGTTGGTTCACACTGTTCAGCAATTCTCCCCAGATTAAAGTCCAGGACTCTTTTAAAACCTGACTCCCACATTCCTCATTTCCCCACCTCTTCATTCCAGACTCTGTGAAACAACCACAACTTGACTCCTGATCTCTGCACATTTTCTTTCTCCAAACTTCACATCTGCCTAGCTAATTGTTACTCCCCACTGTGCTAGTACTTGGGATTTCTGGCTCCTCCCTGAAACTTCTAACCATTTTTGTACATGATTGTTTTATGAGAGAAAGAGAGTACTAACAGCTGTATGCATATTTGTCCATATAGTGGTTTCCCCCAAAAACCTGGGTCATTTATCTGAACCCCTTACCATGCACACAGAAGTTAATGGAGGAGAGACCTTGAATACGGGGACTTTTCTTTTTTATTTGGTTTGGTTTTTCCAGATACAGTCTCATGCAGCCCAGGATAGTCTTAAACTCTCTATGGCCAAGAATGACCTTGAATTCATGATCTCCCAGCATTTTCCTTCCTAACACTGGTTTCACAGGCACAAGATACCTTGTCATGCTAGCTAGACAGCTCAGCTTGCTAGAGAGGCATCTGGTGAAATTAATGATTCCATTATCTTCATTCCTTCTTGGAAAAACTAAAGTGCATGTGGGTGTGTCACATGCCAATATGCCAATTCTACCTCCAACCTGTACCCATTGGTCTTTTTTTTTTTTCCCCCTTTCTGGTTTTTTGAGGCAGGGTTTCTGTGTCTGTGTAGCCCTGGATGTCTCGGAACTTGCTCTGTAGACCTAGACCAAGAGATCTGGCCTCAAACTCAAGAGATCCACCTATCTCTACCTCTGGATTGCTGAGAATAAAGACGTGCATAACCACTCCCTAGCCACTTGTTAGTATTTTATTAATTTTGGCAAAAAAAAAAAAAAAAAAAAAAAAAAACCCTGGGCCAGGCAATGGTGGGCACACCTTTATTCAAAGCACTCCGGAGGCAAAGGCAGGAAGATCTGAGTTTGAGGCCTGGTCTACAGAGAGAGTTCCAGCATCCAAAGCTACAAAGAGAAACCCTAAAAAACAGGGGGAAAAAAAGTAGATTCGGTGATGTGAAGGTTCGGGTATTTTCACTTTTAAAAGAGCTCCGTGGCAAATTTTCTCAAACCCAAGGCGACGGCTCGATCAAGCTAATTTCTCGCTCCCACTTGCACCACTCCCCAGAAACACCCCCTGCACCTCCATCAAGAAAGGCAGAGACCATAGAAATGTCGTGTAGATGAGAAAACAAAAAGATGGCAACTAAAATTTACAAAGCACATTCAAAGGGTCATCCCAGTTCTCGCTTTTTTTTTTTTTTAAATCCTAGTCCTCGTTATGGCACCGATGTTCCTGCTTATTCCAACTCTAAGGAAACAGAGATCGAGAAAAACAGACGTTATCTGAGAGCATACAGAATCGGAGGAAGAGCTCAAATCGGAAACTAATCTCATCCGTGTAAACGTCGGCGCTCACTGCTCAATCCAGGGCAGGCCGCGGCACTGAAGGCCCGGGGCTTCTTCCTCAGGGAAAAAAAAAAGAAGGAATAAAAAAAGAACAAAGGATGGGTCAGCATTAGGAAGAACTCACCTTGGCAGTGAGCGCAGGCTGTGGAGAAGACAATGTGGCTAGAATTGAGCTCTGCACTCCAGTACTGAGGCGATAGGCCTCGGCCTATGTCTGACGGTGAGGAAGCCCCACCCCAAAGAGGAGGAAGGGCACGGCTTCCAGAATCACGCGCAGGACGGAGTAAACCCCCGCTGTCCTGCGAAGTCGTTGAGGGGGTAGAAGCCAGAGCAGGGACTTTGCACATCCCTCCGCAGTGAACCTCTCACTTCACAGCGACCGTCTTCGATGGGTCGGGGTCCCCAAACTGTGCATGCGCACAGGCTACGTGGACAGTTCTGGGCGGCTGGCCACGCCTCTGACCGTCCCACAGTGCACCGCGCAGGCACCTCTCTAGGCGTGGATTCCTGTACTTCCTGGAGAAGAAGAAGCTCTGTGATACCTTGTGGGTCCTTCTAGCCCCCCGCCTTTCTTTCTCTAAAGTGAAGGCCCAATTCTCAGAACGGCCTCAACACAAAGTTGGACTAGGATACTGGAAATAGAGCCTCTGCACACTCCATTCTAGAAAGTTACTGATCTCTCAATCAGAACCTTGCACTGGCACCGTGCTAAAGACTTCATAAATATGGACTGGGGATGTAGCTAAATTACTACAGTCCTTGCATAACAAAAAGGTCTGGGCTCAAAATCCCAGGACTACATAAAACTGGTTGTGATCCCAGCAGTCAGGAGGTGAGGGTAAGGAGGATCAGAAGTTCAAAGTTGCTGAGGATGTAGTTCAGTTGGTAGAGTGCTTGCCTATCATGCTGTGGGTTCAAACCTCAGCACTTCACGGTGGCACGTGCTCCCATCTGAGCCCTCAGGTTGTAAGGGCAGAAGATTACACGTTCAGTCCCATCCACTCCTACCTACATAATGAATTTGAGGCCAACCTAGAATACATAAGACCCTTGTTTAAAGAAGTCATTCTCTTCCACCCTGGGGAGATGGATATGAGCAGAATCAGAAGGTTGAAAGTTTGCTGCCTCCTACACAGTGAGTTTGAGGCCAGCCTGAGATTCATGATCCCTATTTAAAAGGAAAAACTTGTGAAAGACCCCCACTATGCTTATTGCCTGTTTAAATTGCTCTTGCTAATTTGCCAAGGTCAAGTTATGAGAAAAGTACAGGAGGGAACCAGGTGCTGCTCTCATCCAACACCAACCAGATATCTGTGGTCTGCAGCTTGGACCAAAGCAAGGTCAGCAAGACAGTGCCCAGTATGCTGAGATAGTCATAACTGAATTCTTTGTATTCTTTGTGCCCAACCCGAATAACCAACTGTCCTTGGTTAACTACAATCGCTACATTTAGATGAAACAATGAAACCCCTGTAACCATGCTTCTGCTTCTGTAAGCCTGCTTCTTGCCACCCCAACCCTATATAAACTGCCTGAGTTTTAACCTCAGCACGCTCAGTCCCCCGAAAGACTGAGGTGTCCACAGGTACCTGTGTAAACAAAACCTCTTGCACTTACATCCAGTGGTCTGGTCTCATCTCTTGGGGGCAAGGGCCTTCCCCCTGACAGGCTCCAAACTCTTGGGGTCTCCTGGGGGTCTTTCACTTGGAACTGGAGAGATGGTCTGTGGGGAAGGGAGATGAAAAGAACACTTGCTGCTTTTTCAGAAAACCCTCGTTCAGTTCCCAGTGTTCGTGTCAGGAGGCTTACAACTACCTATAACTCCAGCTCCAGGAGGTTTAACACCCTCTTCTGGCCTCCATGAGCACCTACATACAGACGACACACATATACATAAATAAAAATAATTCATAATCTGGGTGGTAGTGGCACACCCATCTAATCCCAGCACTCAGGAGGCAGAGGCAGGTGGATCTCTGTGAGTTCAAGGCCAGCCTGGTCTATAGAGTGAGTTCCAGGACAGCTGGGTCTACATAGAGAAACTCTGTCTTTTAAAAAAAAAATCATGAATAGAATTTTTATTGAATCATCATGATACACAACTCAAGGCATTTTGTTTGCTTGGAGGTTGATTTATGTTTGTTTTTTGTGGGGGTGGTTGCTGTTGTTTTTGAGACAGGGTCTCACTATGTGTGTGGCTCTGGCTATCCTGGAACTCTCTATGTAGACCAGGCTATCATCCAAATCACAAACATCTTCCTAGGTCTGCCTTCTTAGTGCTGAGATTAAAGAAACCACCACACCCAGACCTTTTTCTTTTCTGTTTGAAAAGTTTATTTTATTGGGACCAGAGTGATGGCTCAGTGGTTGAGAGCAGAGGTTGCTCTTCCAGAGGACCTGGGTTCAATTTCCAGCACCCACATGCCAGTTCACAACTGTCTGTAACTCAAAGATGTGACACCCTCACACACATATATATATACAGGCAAAACACCAATGCACATAAAATAAAAACTATTTTTTAATTGTGCAAGGCATAGTGGTACTTGGGAGACAGAGGCAGGCAAATCTCTGAGAGCTTGAGGTCAGCCTGGACTAAAAAGCAAGTTCCAGGACAGCCAGGGCTACCAAGAGACTCTGTTCAAAAAGAAAAACATAATAATTATAATTAATTAATAATTGTATTGCCAAGTGTTGGTGGTACAAACATTTAATGCCAGCACTCAGGAGGCTAAAGTAGGCAGATCTCTGAGTTTGAGGCCAGTCTGGTCTACTGAATGAGTTCCAAGATGGCCAGGGTTACACAGAGAAACCCTGTCTCGAAAAAAAATTATTTTTTGTGTATATGTGAGTGCCTTAGTATATGTCTGTATAACACATGCATGCAGGAGCCTGAAGAGATCAGAAGTGACCTGGACCAGTTGGGACCAGAGAGGACCAGGAGATGAGAAGATAAGGAGAAAAATATGTTTGGGATGGGGAGATCTTTTACAAGCTATGTCTTATGCCAAGCAAGCCTATTAAGAAGTTTAGCATCTTATATACTATTTCCATGGGGGGGAATGGGAAAGAGTCAGCAGAAATTATCATACAATGGACTAAGTCAGAGGGAAGCTAATCAAACAATGTTGCATAAGGGGAACACAGGGTATCTGGAAAACATTACAGACCAAGCACACTGAAGCCTTCAAACTGATAACCAGAGCCCCATACAGTGGGTGGGAAGAGTTGGGTTCTTAGTTTCTGAAGCTGAACTCCCCCCAAGGCCCTGCCTCAGGTCATTACTTGCCTTGCCAAGCATGCCCCTGGTTTCCAGAAGAACTGTGTTCCTTCTCCATACGTCAGAGCCTCAGGAAATGCCTCAGTCAATCTGGCCCTCAACAAGAAGAGTGTCAGATCCCCTGGTACTGGGTTACTGATAGTTGTGAGCTGTCATGTGGGTGCTGGGAATTGAACCCTAGTCCTCTGCAAGAGTTCCAGGATGCCAAGGCTACACAGAAAAACCCTGTCTTGAAAAGCTAAACTAAACTAAAAAGTAAATTCAAATTCCACTTCATGGTATCAGAATATAGAATCCCTCAAACACATATTAGCCCAACAGATTTACCATCAGGAGAAACATACTATATTTCTCATTGAGGGGGGTCCCTGCAGGTGTCAAACAGAGAAGCAAACTCCGAGAAGAAACAAGAATGAAAACCAAGAGCAGACTGACTTAATCAACCTGGGTCACTCAGTGAGTCTAATGCCAGGTGGTTCACTGTCAGCAGATTTAAAACACAGAACAATTTGGGAAAAGATTTCCAGGCAACCATCAGTCCAATTCCAGGTGCATACTGAAGCTTAGGTGTGGCTACACCAAGAGGGTGGGTTCTATAGCTAAAAGGGCTAGAATCTAGTATGGTCTCTGATCATAGCAGAGAGGTCAGCAGGCCATAAAGTAAATGTGGCATCTCCTCTAGGAATGGGTAACAGTCTAGGGAGGGAAGGGTCTGAGATAATCATTCTGGGAAATTTGGGTGAGGCCTCTACAGGAAAAGGTGGGAGAAGTCTGCCTGCACACTTAGCAAAAAGGTCTCCAGGTCATTAACAAAATCCACTCAGCTTTCTGAATATAATGCAAGCTTTTGATTTTCTCTCCTCCATTGAAGAGACACCCCTGCATACTTAACATTTCTGGTTCTCTGTGAGTACAAGGACCTTTGTGCCCCCAACATCGCATCTTATTGCTTCCACCGTCTTCTGCAAGGTGTGTTGGTCTTTCTCTCCATTTTTTTCCTGCTGAATCTGGCTTCCTAAAAGTCTGAAGTCCAACAAGCAGTAGTGACCTTACCAACTAATGAACTGCTGAGTCACTGCTGTAACCCAGATGCCTTCTTTCCCAACTCTGAGACTACAAAGTGTCACATGTAACATGTAACCCCAGCCCACCAAGAATTTTTCTAGTAGAGTTGAATGTGTATTGTTTTCCAGAACTAATTAATCTGTTTGCTGAGGAGCATGGTGGATAAGGTATCTAATCCTAGTACTTGGAAGTTGGAGGAGGTAAGAAGGTCAGTAACTCAAGATCAGCCTTGGCTATATAACAAGTTAGAGGCATACCTGGGCTACATGAGACCCTGTCACAAAATAAATAAAGAAAAATCATAATTTTGAATGGTGTAGTTTGTGACTTGGGACATTACCTAGTCTGGCCAGTGTGGGTACCATACACGTGGGCTGCAGCCTCTCATATCAGACATTAATAACAAAAATAAAACACCCCCCACAGACATGCCTACAGGCCAATCTGATGGAGACAATTTCTCAACTTTAAGAGTCTCTCTTTCCAGGTGACTCTTATTTGTGTCAAGTTGACAAAAACTAACCTGTTGTGGAATATTTGTTTAAATTGTAATGATGTGTCTCTACCTAAGGCACCTTCTGATTGGATTAATAAAGAAATTAATGGCCAATACCTAGGCAGGAGAGAATAGGCAGGACTTCCTGGGCAGAGAGAGAAAGAAACTAGGAAGAATCTAGACATGTGACAAACTCAGAGCAAGTCAGATATCTCACGCTAAGAAGAGGTAAATGAGCCACGTGGCAGAATGTAAATTTAAAAAACACAGGTTAATTAAGTTAATTAAGTGAAAAAGCCTAAGCCAAGGCCCAAGCTTTCATAATTAATAATAAGTTCCCGGGGTCATCGTTTGTAGAATGGTGGTCTAAAGATAGTCTGACAAGAAAACTTACTACACTAACCAGGACAGATGCATAGTGTGGGCTTAAAATAATTGCCATTGCTTTAACAAAGCTCTGTCTCCGTCCTCTTAGTGTTACCAGAGGTTTTAGGTGAAAGTCTGGGACCTAGCTGCCCCAACAAGCTTAGCTCAGCCACTTGTCCCCAGTACATCAATTAAATGTACAAGCAGGGCACAGCAAGATGGCTCAGTGAGTA